AAAGGCAGCAAATATAGTTGCTTTTATATATCTTGAGCATCTTATATTGTTGTGGGCAGTTTCTACATCGCTAGTTTCACATTGTCATTGTTTTCATGGTTGCGACGGTCAGTTCCCCATGTGATGGCCATCCTTAACATATTTAGCTAGGCTTATCCTTGGCAAGCAGATATGTTGGTATATTTGAAGTCTTACCAGTTTGGTAGAACTTGCTGAGGCTTCCACTTTGCTGGCATAACCTTTAAAAGTGCAGGCTCACTTACACACCATAATGAGATGGTAGACTGGTACTTTGTGGATGACTCCATGCTGCTTTTATATATTTGTTAGCTGGATAATTGTCTTCCAAAGGCAAGGAAATGATTTTAAAGGGCATACGTGATATGATAAAGTGAAGGAAAAGAGCAAGACTGCACTACAAGTGGATTGATTCAATCAAGGAAGCCATGGCCTTGAGTTTGAAAGATTTGAGCAGGGTAGCTGATGACCATGGATAACATCTCATTCATAGGGCTACCATAAATCAAAGTCAACTTGATAACATATAAAAGCAACAATATACATCTCTTTCCCTTTCCTCCTTACAAAAATTATTAGAAGTAGGCTTAGATTTAATTTGTTTGAGTGACCTAATATATCTAAACAAGTTTGAACTACGTATCTTTGATTGTGTTCCATTCAATATGCCCAGCTTGGGCATAAGTGTTTTGTTTTTGTTTGTTTACTTCTATTAGTCAGATATTTTGACCACAGAGCTTCTTTGGAACTGTGAAATTAAGTTTAAACAGTTATATTTTCATAAAATGTTTCCAGTCTAAAGATTCCGGCTGCCTCCATGATGTAGTATTCTAGTTATAATTCAGCTAAATATATCCGCTGCCAGTGGTGGCATGAGTGAAAAGGAAGAGCTATTATTTGTTAGTCTAGCACAGGGATCCTCAAACTTATTAAAGCAGAGCGCCAGTTCACAGTCTCTCAGACTGTTGGGGGGCTGGACTATAGTTTGAAAAAAAAATCAACCAATTCCAGTTTACACTGCACATATCTTATTGGTAATGCACAAACACATGAAAGAACAAATACAATATTTAAAATGATGAAGAATTTTAACCAACATAAGCTTATCAGTATTTCAGTGGGAAGTGTGACCAGCTTTTTGACTGATGAGATAGTAAAGTTAATTAGGATTGTTGATGTTGTACCTTCAAGTTTTTCAGACTGTGGGCAACTCTAAGTCTAAAGTTTAGGGCAGAGGCTGAGTAAATTACATTGGAGGGCTGGATCTGGCCTGCCGACCTTAGCTTGGGGACTCCTAGCATAATGTTTTTATAGATATACTTCACTGTGTTAGTAATCCACCAATACACTTCTGTCACTTCTATATCAAAATAGAGGATAATGTCAAGATATTCTTGTTTTCCATGCTTACAGGCTAGCAACATGGTGAGTGTATTACATTCATATTTCACCACATAATTTAATAGTAAATGCTACCATGAACATAATAACAAAAAATCTTTGATCGTGTTAATACTTTATTTCTTAAACAGATCCTGTTGATATTTCTTCAAAAGATGGACTTGCTACTAACTAAAACACCTGCAGATGAAATAAAAAACAGTGTTCTGCCAATGGTTTATAGAGCCTTAGAAGCACCTTCAATTCAGATACAGGTCTGGTAACATTGTTTTTTTGTTGTTGTTAAGTTTCATTATAGCTGAAAGAATCCTTTGTATGTATTAAACATTTTTCATCACATTTGTATTAATTCTATAAGTTCATTTTATTCGTAGTCCACTGGTGAGCTCTTATAAGCAACATTCTATACAAAGATTTAAAACAGTACAAGGTAAATAGGAAAAAATATAAAATCAGACCTGCCAACCTTAAATGTTGTCAATAATTTTTAGAGTGTCACTTAAGTTTTGTTCATATGTTAAATTTTCATGGCCTCTCTCTTGCATATTTTCATTATCTTTTCCCTCAACTCAGTCAATATAATATGACTATGTATAGTTCATTGTAGGAAAATTAGAACAATATTCTAATGCACAAACACATGAAAGAACAAATACAATATTTAAAATGATGAAGAATTTTAACCAACATAAGCTTATCAGTATTTCAGTGGGAAGTGTGACCAGCTTTTTGACTGATGAGATAGTAACAATATTCTAACAATATTCTGTTAATCAACATGAAAAGGGAACACAACTTCTTTGTAGGACATAAAGCCTGTCTAAATTTTCTTTCTTTGCAGGGAGGAAAAGTATGGCCTTTATCTGAGTAAAGTTTATAGATTTCTTGATCTTTTTTTCCTATTGAAATATTTTCTCCATGCAGTCATGCTGGCCACATGACCTTGGAGGTGTCTACGGACAACGCTGGCTCTTTGGCTTAGAAATGGAAATGAGCACCACTCTCCAGAGTCGGACACGACTAGACTTAACGTCAGGGAAAACCTTTACCTTTATAGCGGTAGAGATTTTCCTGCACTGTGGGCATCCCATGTCTTTATTTTGTTCTAAATTGATATTGGGAGCCAGTGCAGTTCCTAGCAAACATATCCAGTGGTGAGGCATGATGGGCATTGCAGTGCAGAAGCCTGTTGAAGTCCATATGTTCTTGAATCTTAGTTTAAATCAGGACTTCTTTTAAACCTTTGCACTTGGGAGCTTTCTTTTTGTGACCCCAGGATACAGTTATATAAAATAAGTATAAAAATCAAACATTTACAGATAACAAATCAGCATTTGCAAAGCTTACTAAACAGGCTGATTTTCCTTTTTATGAAGTACAGTTGAAACATCTTCTGCAGAGTCCCCTGTAAACATTGCACAACAGATTTGTGTAAATGTCTGAAACAGCCTCTCAGTGATGTTTGGAAAACTTTTTTGTTGCCGGATTGTTTGTGTCCCCAACGTTGAGCTAAGTGGTTGGGACCCACGATTTAAGAAGCAGTGTTTAAAATAATTGTGCAGGTCTTATGTTACGATATTTTAAATTATGGATAGCTGCTTAAACTCTTTGGGAAGCAGAGGTATACAACTGTGCAAACAGAATACTCCAGTTCTTTCATGTGAGCATGGATGGGCAGAGAAATTGAACATTTTAAGAAATCTTTGAAACTGCATACTATTTTGTATACAATAATTGTGGTACCTTCATTTGCAGGAACTTTGCTTAAACATAATACCTACATTTGCCAACCTCATAGACTATCCATCAATGAAAAATTCTTTGATACCAAGAATTAAAAATGCATGTTTACAAACATCATCTCTTGCTGTAAGTTAACTAATGTTTCCTGAAAATGTTTTGCTTCTTTTCTTCTTCACAATTGTTTTTTCCAGACATGTAATTGCAATTTATGCATTATTTTGAAAATAATCTCATATGAAAATAAAAATATTAGAAGCTGAAAAGCACTCCTCTGACATGCTTCTCCTCTTGAAATATATCTTCCATTGTGGTGCCATGATATTAATTCCCTAATAACATCGTTCACAGCTGTTCACAAAGTAATTCAGAAAAGATAAATAATTTTAAACCCTAGCTTCTGCAGGACTTAATGAATCTACCATACAGTTATGCTAATCATTATCTGCCACAGTTTACATCTGCAAAAAATGATGTGTGAAACTTGTATTTATTTATTTATTTACGGCATATGTAGCCCGCTTTTCTCAGCCTTGCGGTGACTCAAGGCAGCTCACAAAAATAGCAATTTTAGTGACACATATTCATAAAAGTACAGTTAAAACATTTGACTCAGTATTTTAAAAGCATATATAAACCATTTAAAAACATATAATGTTGTCCTGTTAAAATCATTATCCAGCGGTATGTATGATCACAAAGCTTAGCATGTTCATGTTTGAATTGAAAGACCTTATGGTTATATTTTGATTGCAGCTTTGAAGTTATAATGACATTTATTTAAAAAAAATACAAACCTGCCTTCATTTTTCCCACATTCCCCCATCTTTAGAAATGAGATGGATGATTAGTATATAGAAGGCCTTTTCTGTTTTTTGAAAAAAACAAAAACAAAACAGTAATTCAGATTTTGGAAATTGCTGCCCACTAGTAATCAGAGTGCATTTACACTGTTGGGGTCAAATTACAAACTAAAACCTTTTATAGTCACTAAGTCTTTGATAGAGGGCCAGTGTGGTGAAGTGGCTTGAGCATTGGACTATGACTCTGGAGACCAGGGTTTTAATTCCTTCTCAGCCATGGAAATCCACTAGGTGACTCTGGAAGCCACACACTTTCAGCCTTAGAGGCAGGCAAAGGCAACCCAACCACCCACCCACCCTGAACAACTCTTGCCAAGAAAACTCCCTTATAGGTTAAACTTGAATTGCTCTAAGTCAGAAATGACATGAAAGCATACAACAACAACAACAACAAACATTTGATGATTTTTAAGAGATGCTAATATTAAATTCACCTGATCTTGAATTTTCAGCATTAATTGTGTGTTTATGTTACTTTTTGTTTGTTTGCTCATTTTGAAATATTTAAAATATATAAATAATTTACTTACATATTTTTCTTTCAAGTGTATGTTGATCTGAAATAGAGCTGGAAGGGAGACTATATTAACTATATTATGCCTTCACAGCGCCATGTTACTAGAAAAAGAGAAGTTGGCACAGTTTATTGGTTTGGGCAGTCGATCTTTGTTTCCACAAAACTCATAATAGTTGCATTCTTTATTTGTAATTGATCATAACATCACACTGTTCTGAAGACATTTGTTATAGGTTGGCATTAGTACAACCTACAAAATATAATCCTCTTAAATCAGTTTAAGATTGCAGAATTCAACTTAGTTTGTATAAACTCATGTAAGACATGGGTTTCGAATGTTATCTAAGATTTTGGTGTTACTTGAATTCATTTTAAAAGCTCTTTTCTTTATCTTTATAAGACTTTTATTTAGAGAATTTGTTTCTGTTTTTATTAGGTGCGGGTAAATTCCTTAGTCTGTTTGGGAAAGATTTTGGAATATTTGGACAAGTGGTTCGTTCTTGATGATATTCTGCCTTTTTTGCAACAAATTCCTTCCAAGGAGCCTGCCGTTCTTATGGGAGTTTTAGGTAACATGATGTTCTGTTATACCAATCTCTGTGGTGTTGTATGGTTTCAGAGGCAATTATATGCAGCATTATTATTATTATTATTATTATTATTATTATGTCTATTTATATCCCATTTTTTTTCTCCACAAGGAGTCAGTGCAACCCTGTATCTGCATGAGTGATACCTGCAGTTTCGTGTATCCACTTTCAACAAAATATGGCCTTTCTAGACATATTCTAGGTCTTCCAACACAAGACTTCTCAAAAATTCCAGCATTTTTTCCTGAATTTTCCTGAAAACTCTTTTAAGATTAGTATTGATTTTTATAGTTCACATTGAGTCCAGACACTTCTCTTTCTGTATCCCTTTGCTTTAGAAAAAATACTATTTTGGAAACAGTATTTAAAAGAATTTGTAATGAGCAAGTTTGCTATCAGTATCTGAATTGTTATGCTTCATTTTTGTTAACAGGCATCTATAAATGTACATTTAGTCATAAAAAACTAGGAATTACAAAAGAACAGCTAGCAGGAAAAGTGCTGCCTCATCTGATTCCTCTCAGCATTGAGAACAATCTGAATCTGAATCAGGTAGGGTCACTATTTTTCATATATGTGTGACTGGTTTCATTGAGGCTTACATAAAAGAAACTTTACTGAAGGATCATGGCTGCTGTCGAGGCTTTAATATTTAGTCACATATGTTGCTCATTCTATATTCTTTTGGGATAATCAAAATTATGTCTCCCTCTTTATCTGTTTCATACACATACTACTTTCTGTGCCTGTCTCACATGTAACCAACAGCCCAATTAATGCAGTTATTAGACATGTGCGCGAAATTCGTTCTCACCGTTTTTTCCGTTTCTTTTGTGTCTTCCGTTTATTTGGAAGCATGAAACAGGAAGCCCCCTCTGCACACAAAACTCAGCTTGACACAAAAGTCTGCTTTTGTGTGGAACCGAAATCCATGTGTGTGCGCTTCTTCTCTTTCTCCTCCCTCCCTCCCTCGTGCCAACAATGCTTCACATTCACTCACGAGAGTTGTAGCTGGGCAGCCCCCCATCTGGACCTCAGCATCAGGGTAGAAGGAATCACCGCCTCTCCTTCCTTTCTGGGTGTGTGTTGTGGCGTGTGTGACTGTGCGGCACTTGGCTGCAAGCAGGCACTGACAGACGTGCATGCACTTTCCAGACCTGCCTGGAATTTTCCAGGGAGAGTGTGTGTGTCATGTGGGGCATGCAGGCAAGCTTGGAAAGCTTGCACACACGTGAGTACATGCATGGAGCCAAGCGCCTGCACAGTCACACACCCCACCACACACCCTGCCACCCGCCACACTCTCCGAGTGGGAAGGAGGGATTTGCGGTGGTTCCTTCCGCTCTGATGAAGCATGCTTGCTGAGGTCTGGATGTGGGGTTGCTCAGCCATGACTCCTGTGAGTGAATGCAGGGCATTGTGGGTGTGAGGGAGGGAGGAGGAGGAGGAGGAAGAGGAAGAGAAAAAGCACAGTGCCCACACACACACACACACACACATGCCTGCCAGTGACTGCCAGGCAGCCGAGCACCTCAGGAAGGGAAGCCTGTGGGTGGAAAGCCTCCCCCCCCCTATAATGGGCCAATTTTCAGGCCCCGAAACAAAACAACCGAAAACAACCTTCCCAATTTCAGAAAGCTTATCGAAAATGGATCGGGCCCCGCAATGAAAGTCTAGAAGCTAAATGGGACAAGCTTTTACCGGAATGCATGCCACTAGCAGTTATGTGAAATCTATATTTATTTATTTATTTATTTATTTATTTATTTATTTATTATTAACTTTATTTGTACCCTGCTAACATCTCCCGAAGGACTCGATGCAGCTTATAAAGGCCAAGGCCTCAATAAAAACAACAGCATAACAATACACATAACATTTCAAGCAACTCAAAATGTTAAGCAATAACAGTAAACAATAAGACAATACACCATAACACGATAAAACTAGGGCCGGGCCAAATGTAATGGGTACAGATTAAAAAGTGCTGAGTATGACAGGTGAAAAGTAGGGTAAGTGCAATGTGCAGACAATCTTAAATCTCTACTAAAGTGCTTCTGGGACATATTGCTGGAGTTTCCTATTCTGGAAAGGCACACCTTTCCAGAATAGTTATTTGCTGGCTGAAGTATATCACTCCTGAAAGCAGCATAGAAAATAACTCTCTTAGCAGATTCTTACTCTACATACACTGAGCCCACAAAACCCAGGACAGGGAGATACAATTGTACTGCAATGTCTTTTTACATTTTCATCATACATAGAGGACAACTTCCTTCTGCTATGCAGTGTGACTGACTCTTATGTTCACATTAATAGGATTAAGCTGTAGTATGTTCCTTGTATAATGTTGTCTTGCCCAGGATTAAAATGTAACTTTTAAAGCTGTCTTCATGTAAAATATATTTCTCTTTTAGTTTAATTCCTTCATTTCAGTCATAAAAGAGATGTTAAGTAGATTGGAAGCTGAGCATAAGATCAAACTCGAACAAATCCATATTATGCAAGAACAGCAAAAGTAAGTGCATAATTAATTGCAATTATATTATATCAATACTATTTTGCTTCTTCTCTTATGATTTCTCTGTCCTTGTTAAATCTTTAATTCATATTAGAGATTTAAGTAGCTCCAAAATAATATTGTATTGCACTATTACACATACTTCTTGTGACCTGTATATTAAGAATGTAATGTAAATACATATTACTTCTGAGCTGAATAAAACATTTATCACAGTTTTCTCAATACCTTAATAGATTTTCTACATGTAATCTGGATGGTTATTGCTTTCAATGCTGAAATAGTATGCTTTACTTGATTGAAACTGTACTTTTGTGCAACAGATCTTTGGATATAAATCAAATGAATATGCCTGAAGAAAAAAAAGGCAACAATACAGGCAATCAGGTAAGAAGCTGACTTAATTACTAGGCTTGGGTGATCAAGAAAAAAAATGTTTCTAAATTCATTTCGGATGTAGGGGGCGCTGGTGATTCGATTTTGAAATAATTTCTGGAATTTTCTTGAAAAAAAGATCGGAAATGGCAGAAATCCGAATCACTTTATTTGCTTTGTTAATGGAAGGTACCCCTCCTTCCCTCCAGAACCATTAAGTAACTTTAACAAAGTCAGAAAGCCTAAACAAACAGTTTTAAAATCTCGCAGTTTCCCTTCCCTGGCTGGTGGTGAACAGTGAAGGGCAATGCAGAGGGACAAGGTAGGCGTGGCTAAGAACAGCTCTTCCTGAAGGCCATGCCCCCAGTGGCCTTCAGGAAGAGCTGTCACTGCTGAGCCACGCCCACCTCGTCCCTCTGCATCGCCGCCAGGGAACGGAAACTGCGAGATTTTAAGCACTTTTTAAATCCCGCAGTGTCCCTTCCCTGGCGGCTGTTCTTAGCCACGCCCACCTCATACCTCTTCAGCGCCGTTCACCGCCAGCCGGGGAAGGGAAACCGCGAGATTTTAAAACTAACAGGGAAGGGAAACTGTGAGATTTTAAAACGTGGCCTTCAAGAATGGAAACCGCGAGGCTTTGCCAAAGTTGCTTAATTGTTCTAAAAATCAATATAACTGTGGGAGACATCCGAAAATAATTCAGAACAATGGGTAAGTGGTTTAAATTCGGAATTACTCCTCCCACTATTCCTGCATGGCTCGAAATTGGTTCAAAAGGTAATTTTTTTCCGAAATAATTCCGATTTAAGAAAATAATGACTGTACCTACCCATGCCTATTAATTACATTACTGCAGTGTTTTATTAAACTGTTTTAAAAGTTTTTGTTTTTAATTTGAACAGATTGACAAGGTATTTACCAATCTAGGAACAGATATTTTGACTAGTGGATCTGACTGTAAAGAGAATGGACTGGTGACAAATCAGAGAAAGGTGAGTTTTAATAACAAATGATTATATAAAATATAGAGCAGTAGGAAGGTTTTTTTAAAAGCTTACTTAAGGTGGTATTTCAACCTAGATCTTTCTTGACCTACTACGGCTATCAAGATCTAGAGATTCCTCTAATTCTATCCAGAATAGAGGAAGATGTGAAGGACAAAGAAAATGAATTGAAATAAAGTCTTGGGTTCCAAGTTAGTCATGCTCAAGTAGATTTATTGAAATGGATGGGTTGAAGTACCATTTGCTTCAGTGGCCTGCTTTCATTATGGAGGATTTCAGCCAACCTCAACCTGCCCTCCAGATGTTTTTTGACTATAGCTCACATTCCAGTCAGCATGCCCGTTGGGTGTTGCATCCCAACATGTTTGGTAGGTACATACGTTGGGGAAGGTTGGCCTGGTCTAAATGACTAGACCAACTTCCCCCAACTCTGAGGATCTTGTCAATTTATCAATTGTCAATTTGTCAATGTGTATTCTTTTGTAGGGATCACTTACACTTGAAGAAAAGCAAAAGTTAGCAAAAGAACAAGAACAAGCTCAGAAACTGAAAAGCCAGCAGCCACTTAAACCTCAGACTCATACAATTACAGCTCCAGTCAAACAGGTATGAATGGAATGTTGTAAGGGAACTTCTCATGGGAAACTTTGCATCTGTAGCAACAAGCCACTAAGATGCATTTGTCTTGTGTAACTTGGAATGAGTTTGAGTTTCTTCATTTTATCATTTACATATACGCTCTCAAATAGTTGTGATGTTAAAGTCTGGATGAATGAACAATAAAAACTTTCCAATAGCAGGATAGAGCCATTTCAGATGCTTTTTGTGTGACATATGAGAAAAGTAGAAGACACTTTGGCTATTGGCAAGAAATTATTAATCTGTACTTGTTTCCATTGAAATAGCTGGGATTTAAATACTAGATTTTAAGGTAGATTACAGTAGAATTTAAGTCAAGATCATTAGTCTGGATGCAATCCATTATGTGCTACCAGTTAATATCTATACCATTGTACTGTATTTTATTTTAAGGGATTTTATTAACAACAGCATCTAAACAGGCTTCACATATAATGCACAGCAGCTGCCTGCTCTGGAAGTTATCAGAGCATGGAAAACTGCATCTAGAAGTCATAGCTGTACACCAGTCAAACTAATGGAAAGTTATTTGTGCCAAAGTTACTGCTGCTCATTTGAGCAATTCCAGAGATATTACCACATTAGTCTGCTGCAACTAGAAATCTTTTGTGCCCACAGCAACTGGTAAAGTGGAGTGCAGTCTGCTAAAATTTATGCCACATAGAATTGGTTAGTCTTCATGATGCCAATGAATTCATGTTATATTGCTATACAGTATATACAGATATGATTATGAATACAGATATGATTGCAGTTGTATTCTCGTATTTGTCTTGCACTAAAATGGAATTTCTGCTGGGTAAAGCATTCTTAGTACATTGTCATCTTTTTAACAGCAGTTTGTTGATAATACTGTTACATACTTTACTTTCAAATGTTTTCTGTTTTGCAGACAAAGGACTTGACTGATACTTTGAGAGAGAACATGGCATCATTGACCAACCAATCTGTTAACAAAACTAAAGTATCTTCTTCAAGTAGCTTTTCTTCAGTGGGTATTGGAATGGGATTTCCATCACCTGTTGAAAGCACTAAGAGAAATGGACTAAATGCTAATATAGGATTTCAGCCTTCTGGATTTGGCATGGGAATTGGAACCACAAGTCAGAATTTCTTCGGTAATACTGGCGTTACTGGAATGGCCAATATGAATATGTTGCCAGCAGCAAATATGACACCTTATTCCCCCATGAGTACCACACCTGCGGTTTCACAGCCAACACAGCAAAGTAGGCCTCCAGATATGTCTGCTTTAGATAGCCTGTTTGGGCCTCAAAAACCCAAAATGAGTATGAATCAATTGTCTCAACAAAAAACAAACCAGTGGCTTAACCAGTTTGTACCTCCCCAGGGTACCAACAATTCTGCTTTGGGAACACAGATGAATGTAATGGGACAACCTGGCTTTGGCTTACAGGGGAATCCTTTCTTTAATCCTCAAAACTTCACACAGCCAGCAAACAGTATGACAACCAGCAGCTCAGCTAGCAATGACTTAAAAGACCTTTTTGGGTAATAATTGTAATTGTGAGCAAGTTGGTTTAATATATATTTATGTATGACGAAAAGCTGATTTGAGGAAACTCATCTAGCAAAATGGACAAGAAAAGGCAGTTTCCAGGATGGCCTAATAGTATATTTTATTTCCCTATGTATTTAATTTTTGTAAGCACCAAGTGGTCCCTTCCCCCTAATTTCACCACTTTTAAAGTCAGGTTGAATCAATCAACGTACTCAGAAAAATTAGACCTCATACTTTGCAACTTCAGGAATTTCTGTTCTGACCACTGTGTTTTACAAATAAACATCTTGCAAATAAATACAAGCAGATAGGTTGTAATTGCTGAAAAGCTGTTGGGTCTGTTATGTACACAAGACTGCAAATATGTGCTGAATCCTGGTCTCTTGTTAATTTTGCATTGACTGCGTTGGTATATTATTGAGTTACAAATACCTCTTGGTATAGAATCATTTATAGTTGGCATGTATTGGAAGGGAGATTTTTGTGAACACGTGAGACTAGATTTAAGGTTAAGATTTTTTTTATCTCAGTATAAAACAAGGTTGGTTTGAAAGGGAATTATATTCTTCAGCAAAAATGAAGCTGCTAAGGTGACCATGTTACATCAATTCCTACTGATAATGTCAAAATATCTGGTCCCATAGTAGAAACCACATTGCTGGCAAGGCTATCTTAATGTCCTGGCTAAAAATGTGGGATTGTTTAATCATACAAAAAATAATACAGGTGCAAATTAATGAATGAAGTCTGTTTCAGACCGTCCATAAGGAATTTGAGACTTAATAATATGGAAAGTATGTGGCACCTTCTCAGACAAAAATGGGACTTTCAAATCCCTATGGTTTACTCTTATTGTGGATTTCTTTGACTGCTGCTAATGTCTTTCTTTAGATTAAAAGAAAAATTCACAGTCTGAGACAGATTGCTTAATTTTAGGCCAATCCCATTTGGAAGAGTAATGTAACCATTTAATGGTTCTGCATACTCCATGGAAGTGTTGTTCCAAATGTAAAAAAAGGATTTCCTGAGTAAGAAGCAGTAGTACATCTTGCTTAACAGGAGTGGAATGTTCATCTTCTCTACCAAACTTCCTCTATCTTTACACAGTTACAATTTCTACTGGTGTTTAACTATTTCTTCCCTTGGGTTTTTGGGATCTTTCTTATATAACACTTTGGATTATGAGTGGCTATTTTGAGAAGCAAAGAATTGGTTAACTTTTTTTTACACAAGACACCCTACACACATTATTTTTCGAAGCCTTTCACTGATTAAATTGTTTCCATTTGCTGCTTAAGAAACCAAAGGGCCTTATGCTGTAAATGTGAGCTGTATTTTGTTAAATTATATTTCCAGTTTCAAGCAGTAATGATGTTAAATGTACTTTAAGAACTTTATATTATATCTGCTGCCTTAGTACTTTTATTTTGTATTTTGGGACCATTGATGAAATTTGTGTTTTTTAAAGGAAAAAAAAAACACTTGTGTTATTTATGTACTGTTGATATTATGACTAAAGTATGCTTAATTAGTTATATAATTGTGTGTGAAATTATGCTGATTAAATGTGTTAGGCGTACTTCTAGTTCCTGGTATGGTCTCCAGATATCCCAAAACTTCAAATTTCACATTTATGGCATATAAACATTTCTCTAATGCTAAGTTTAAACAAAAGACAACAAAATGTTTAAGACAAATTTTGCCTATATTATATAGAAAGCAAAAAATAAATAAATAAAGCAAGAAGGTGAATGATTTATGATAGTCGAGTGTCACATTTAGAGAGGACGTGAACCATGTTAACTTGAAAAGTTCCATCAGGTCTGATCACTCCATCAGAACATACGAGAGACGTAGGCCTAATCCAACCATGGCTCTGCAGTGACAACACAACAGAACTTCCTTTTCCTTTCCTCCTCTTTGCACCCCTTTCAATAGCCCAAACACTAGTTTCAGATGATTTCCTAGCATTCTAGCATAAGTTTTTGGGATGTTTAGGGATTGTAGTCAGAGTGAAAATTTGCCACCTTGCTTCCACTAGACTTCGCTGTTCCTGCAACAGATATATGCCTCTGAATTATGTTCATTGGGGGGATTTGTTAAGATTCAAGCTAGTCCATAGCCTTGGAGAGTTGACTGTATCAAACCTTAATTCTATAGGAGGCAATGATAGTTTTGCCACTGTTTTTTTCCACACCAGAATGTTCATTTGTTCTAAGGAGAAAATTGCAATGGGAAAACCTTCATGCCTGATCAACATAAAACATTTCTAAAATATTTTTGTCAACTTGTTGCTGCTTATAATACTATCAGGTAATTTTGGAAGATTCAAGAAAAGAAGAAGAAGAAAATGTATCAACTTTCGTGTGTGAGTTGTCATCTATCCATTAGGAGTCATTAATATTTTATTAAAATTGATTCCTCTTGAAATAATTTAAAAACGAGATTCTTTGTTTTGTACAAGAGGTAAGAGAAGACTATTTCACTTATTCATAGCATAGTTTCCATTGGGTTGCATTTCAAAATTGGATTCCCAGTAGAGTTAGTGAATATTTCTCTGACTTGTTAATGCATGTATCTGCTTTTATGACAGATTTTTTTTCTTTACGGTGAATCAAACAAAGGCATTGCTTTGACTCAGTAACTTTCTTAGTATTGATGGCATCAGTGCTGTCACATTTTATTATGAGTGGACACTTAACAGTCGCCACTGGCATGGGTGTGATGACTCGAAAGGCATTTAGATTAAAGGAGAATGAAAGGCTTAATGCCTAAGAATCGATTTTCTGTACACTGTAAAATATGTACAATTTCTTAATTGTCTTTCTTGATGTACAGTTTTAACTCATGTACCAAATTCCAGATCATCAAATTCTTCGGAACACAGAGATTCCAAAATAAATTCTAAAAATGATTCTGAAATAATTGTGAGGAGGAAATCACACAAGTGCTTCCATATCTACATTTATTATGTGCCAAATCCTATTCACATAGCATGTCGCTATAGGGATCATAATAAGTCATTAAATCCATAATCCTAAGAAAATTTATGAGTAATATGGCTTCCCTAGCATAATATCCAAGAGGCACGAGTCAGCAAAGAGGAAAAGTTACATGGATTTTTCATCCCCCTAAATGGAGAAAGAGAAAAGTGGCTTGTTTGGAACAGCAGTAGTTTCCTCTCAAATTGAAGTATTCCCAAAAGAAATTTTGGAAATGGCGGCTTTTTAAAAATATATATATGTTTATGTATGGGCATTTTCATGGTTTTCCTCATTAAAGTGAATGAATTCTAATCACTAATAGATATAGATATATTTTCAGGTGTGCCCTGAAATCTTAATTGACTGGACAACAATTCTAATATGTGAAAGTGACACTTTATGGGGAAAGAAAATACAATTTCATCAGTAACATTGGAATTCTATCTGATGTTTCCCTCCCAAATATATTAAGTATATTGTTTCATCATAAGTTAAAACATGACTATTGTTTGTATATTAATGTATGGTAATTACATTGACTATTTCAGTGAATGTTTGTTGTGACAGCTGACTTACCGTTTTCCATAGGCATGGTTCACATAGAAAATTATTCATACCTTTGTAAGCTGTGGCTATGACACGGTGACTGAACCAGCATGAAACAAGTATATAATTCTGAAGTAAATAACTTCTCTTCCATTTCTGGTGGCTATTTGTGGATATTTTTCTTGTTTAGTTAAATGTGTGCAGTTTCAGATTTTTTTAAATATAAACAATCCAATGTTTACATCACACAAATTGTTATGTACTTACTGTCACACAAGTGTGTCCCATCAGATTCGGTAATAAATCTATTACTACTGAGTCCATGTGTAAGATTACCCTTGTTACTCAATGCTAGCTAAACCTGTCTTTTTTGGTGATGTAAAATATACGGGTTTTTGCATTATATGGTTGGGATTTCATTTCCTGTGCTGAGATACAATAGATTGTGGTGGGAAACAAAATTGACTATCAATCTAGGACTATCCCAAGGGTTTTCTGAATTTCAACCCTGTGTTTTAATCTAAGTTTTGAAAACAATTGCATCAATTGTACAGAAGTGTTTAAAAGCTGAGGCTCCCCTTGAAGTGCTAAAATGCAGGATATTATAAGCACTGTGTATAATTCCCAAGTTGTATATCAAAATGGCTTTATATGTATTGAACTCAGGCTTGATTCAAAAATATTTAATAAGCCCCTACTTAGTAGTGGCGATTTTTATGTTTAGACTTTTAAGACATTCAAATTGTTTTGTGTAAAGTGGTTAATAATATTACTTTAGTGTTGCTGTGGTTCATGGTCAGAATGGATGGAGCATGAAATTCTATTTTGGTTTATTGGACTTTGCTGCTCTTACAAACAAATCTATTCTTTATATCAGTTTTTCAAATTAGTAATACTTAAAATAAATATACTGTACAGGCTGGTTACAAGAAATTCCTTCCACTTTGTACTTCGGATGAATAACTGTAGTTTTGAAATGCTGAATGATGTTCCTATATTGAAATAAAGATTTTCTTTTCCATATTTTCAGCTTTTCAGGGGAGTGAAATGTCTTCCAAGTTGTGACAATTTACCAGTAAACATAGCAAGTAGAAAAAAGACGAGGTCTTGATCATTCAGACATAGATTCTAGGTGTTTCTTGCTAATTTATGGCAAAGAGAAGAAATACATCCAAAAACTGCCCATATGAATTTTGTTACTAATAGAGCAATTAGAGTTCCCTTTCTTAAATTGACTGACTCTTTTGCTTTCATCTTGGATTTATACAGATGTAATTCAGAGGGTTGTGGGTTAGAAACACAAATGATCCCAATTTTTCTTTCTAAGACAGAAAGTGATGTGTTATTTATACTTTCTGTGCTGCTCCTGAGTAAAATTTAATGTTGCTATTCTCAAATCAGAAAATATTTGCATCAACATGAAACTTTTAGGCAATACAAATGTTGACATACTTTTCAAAAACTGGTAGAAAGGGTTTTTTTTTCTGAACTTATGTTTCATATATACCTTGTACAGATAAAGGTATTTTATACATATTTTAATCATTTTGTGCATGTGTTTAATGTGTTCATTATACCATCAGAAAGCAAAAAGGTATTAGTATTTCCGGATCACAGATTCTCAACCTGTATTGGTCTTTATAAGACTTTCTATATACTAGTTCTGTAGCACAAATATTAGAGGATAAGATTCATACACAATTATACTACATTTAATTCATGAAACAGACTAAAAACAACATTGTTACATGTGTTGGAAGCATTTGGTAAAATCAAATCTAAAGGCTGCAAATTAAGACAAGGCCAGAAGATGGTAATATTGATCCAAGTCAGTGCCATTAATGTAAACCGAATTAGATGTTAAAATACTGCTGTAGTAATTACCGTACCTATGATATCACTAATATTTGTATATGTGTGTTTTTAATATCAGTCTACAGCTGGGAATATTAAATGGCTAGTGATTTGATAATGTTTCTTTTATACTAAGAATCTTATCCAAAGGCTTCCTGTTGAAATCAGAAAATTATTCCTTTCGTCATACATCATATAAAATGAGGACATTGCACCACAAGAGAGCAGACCTGACTAGATTAAGAGGAGGAGGGGGGGGGGGAATCCACAGATAGCAGACTTAATGAATAGAGATAGAATATAAGCTTAAAATGTGTTTACAAATATTTTTAAAATAAAAGGAATTGTTTCACTGTTGAATAACAAGAATCATAATAGGATCTAGAGTACATTTGAAACTTGAGTTTGTTGCTCCACTTGTGGATTCAAGAACTTAAAATAAGATCTTCATGTTGAAGAGATAAGTAATGAACTTTTCCAGACAGTAAATACAATAACTGCAATTTGATTGATTCTCCACACCAAGCTTTTACCCACTGTATGATGATTTCTTCTTCCTGATCTGATATTTGCTTTATGGAAGAAGATTTTATGCAAAAAAGCTATCAAAATTTACTCCTTAGTTTCACCTTGGTGCAATCTATAACTCAACTTAGACAAGATGGAGGAGGTACTGTTGGTACTAATTCATTTCCCTGGCCACATGTTATTCACTGCATTCTCAATGAGATTATGCTGCCGCTGCCACCCCATATGATAGCGGACTGCATTGGCTCCAATTTGAATCTCTCTGAGGCCTGTGATTGGCCACAGTCTATCCAAAATATGGTTTCTTAACCCGCAAAACCCTAAAATACCTAGAAATTTTCTAAGATTTAAAATACTAAACAAAATGGTACTATGGAAGTTTCTAGGAACAAGCTTCCCCATGTTTTGATACTATATCTAATTTCTATCCATGTTTAAGATATAGGAGAGCCTCATTTCTGGCAGTTAAATGGCTTGGTCTACTTATTATATTAAAGCAATTAAGTTCAGCCTATTCTAAAGTCAGTGGTAGACAGAACTGTAGACTATCCCATCCCTAGGGGTGTATCTACACTAAAATTAGTGCACCACTTTAATTACCAGGGCTCAATGCTATGGAATTCTGAGATTTGTAGTTTGGTGAGATGCTAGCACCCTTTGGTGGAGAAGGCTAAAGACCTTGTAAAATTACAACTCTCATGATTCCATAGCATTGAACTATGTCAGTTGAAGTGGTTCTCCAGTCATCTGAGGGGACCTACTGAATGGTATAGATCAGGTATGGGCAAACTTGAGCCCTCCAAGTGTTTTGGGTTCCAACTCCCACAATTCCTGTTAGGAATTCCTGTTAGGAATTGTAGGAGTTGGAACCCAAAACACCTGGGGGGCCCAAGTTTGCCCATACCTGGTCTAGATTGTTAGATGGAGGAGTGGAAGACAACCTGTCATATTCTACATGGCCTCACAATCCTTTGTGTTGTACAGGAATGGCGATGGCTGAAGAGGAATTCAATGGCTCCCTGTCCAATTCTGCCTAAGTACTGTTGGATTCAACTCCATAGCTTCTTTCCTAACTTTAATTTTCATTTTAAAAAGTCCTGCAGCATTATGACTTCATTTGCATCATACTCATCTATATAAATAAAAATGTAATGTTCATTTGTGGGATTAACATAACTCAAAAACCACTGGGCGAACTGACACCAAATTTGGGCAAAATACACCTATCAGGCCAACGAGTGACCATCACTCATTTAAAAAATGACATGGCAGAAGAGACTTAAAAAGCCAAAAAATTTAAAATACATTACAACGCATGTGCTAAACCACATATATACACATGTACACAAATATATACAAACACATATACATATATACACACACACAACACATATACACAGACTGGGCCACAGCAACGCGTGCCAGGGGACAGCTAGTATTTCACTAAATCTCCTTTTTTTTGTATCTACAATATAAAAACCCTCATGATATAGTCATAAATGCTATGTGTAGACTATATTTATATATGTGGTTGTTTGCAGGGTCCATAGGAAAATGAAAGAGTACAATGGAATTATAATCCTTGTGATGGGCAGACAGGGTTTATAAATGTTTAATACAGTTTGCTGTGGATGAGGTCCTATTAATAAGCTCGAGTGGCTAGAGAGACAGGTATTGTGTTCGTTACTATAGCATCACCTAGCACAGGATATGTCTGAGAGAAACAGTGGAGGAAAGCAGGGAGAGAGGATGGGCAAGTTAGAGAGGGCTTCTGTCAGTTGCACTGGTCCAGCATTACCTCTGTCCAGGTGTATCCCTGTGCATTAACTACTCCCTCAGAAGATAACCATCTGTGAAACAACTGGGATAAAACAAAGCGGCAACTACTCTGCTTCCACTATTGGCAGTTATTTGGAGACTTTGCTGAATTTTCCATTCCGACTATTATTTTGGAGAACTAGACATTCATATCTACTGGATCATCTGATCACTATCCCAAGGATAAAAAAAATAAAAGAGAGAAAGCGGACACTGATGATGACAGCAAGCAAATGTTATATTAAAGGATTTATTTAAGAAGACAAGATGCCTTTTGAGGTGTTCAGTTCACTAAGGGAGAGATTTCTTAAGCCTGGGAAAGAGGTGAAGAATACTGTTAGCAACTCACTGGGACACTTCCAAAGGTAAAAGGGCTGATGAAACTGGCCAGATTCTTATTAAACATTTATATTTTGAAAATAAATTGATAATGCAATATTGACAATACAACATTATCAAATGATCTGTGCTTATAAAATGTGTTACTAAACCAAGAAAGGATTGTGAAACAGGTCACAATTCTAAACATGATTAATACGGCTGGTTCATATTTTTAGTTATGCTAACTAATATCATTGAAAAGTATTACAGATTTTAAACATGTATAGTTTTAATATGACGTATAACTACTGTATTTTAGGAATAATAGTGACTATATAAGGCACACATAGAGCAAAAATTGTTTTGTAATTTTCAATCACAAGTCTATTTAAGTTAGTATGGATTTGTAAGCAATCCTCAGCATGTTTACCTGTTTATTTAAACTTCAGTTCATCTTAAATCATAAAAAGTATATTTTAACTGAATTATACCCTGTTATTTATTTGAAATTGTGGACATGTTACATTCATAAAATAAGAATAATATGCAAGAGTGGATGAAATATTGCATGATGTTAAAACCAACCAAATTTGACAGGGATAGCAGTGTTTTCTCTGTAATTATTCAACTCCTGGAAATAATAAAGATTTGTAATCAGTGAGCAGCAGTTTTTTAAAAACTGCATATTATGACTGATTGCTGTTGAATGGCATATCTTAGTGTGTTTTAATAAAACAGAACAGTTATAGGTGCTCTGATAAGAAAACATTACTTTTACTTACATCATTCATATCCTTCTCCCTAAAAAGATGTTTTCAGAATGCTTACAAAATGTTACAAAATCAACAATAGAATCCATAATGTATTGCATTGTATGCAAGACTCCTTAGGAATGTATTGTATACTATTGTACTGCCATCCATTTAGACTGTAATCCTAATCACATTTACACGTGAGTAAGCACCACTAGAGCTTGCCTCTGAGGAAACATGCATACGATTGTGCTTCTTGAGTAGTATTTAATTCATTATTCTTTCTAAAAACAGTTCTTGAATATTCTGAATTGTCCTGGGTTTGTCCGTATCCTTTCTCCTTCCTTGATATACATCTACCTGTCTATATATATGCACACACACACACACATATGTATGTATGTATATCGTTGTGTTTGTTGCAATTTGCAGACAGGATCAGCAAGACCAATAGCACTATAAAAGTATACATTTATTTATTTATTTAAAGCATTTATATTCCACCTTTCTCACCCCAAGGGGGACTTAAGGTGGAGCAAAACATATATACGGCAAACATTCAATGCCAGAATATAAAATAAACTATAAATATGCACAAACATTAACATCAGTTATCTCCACTTGAAATCAATTGTTTAAAACCATCTCAGATGAGCCATACTGGATCTGGTCAGCAGGTTAGAGTTTCCTATTGTTGCCTTATTGCACTGTCCCAAAGGCTTGGTCCCACAGCCAAGTTTTTACATCTGCCTATTTATATATGTACACAGAGATCTTTGAAAATATTGATATTTATATATATTGTTGTGTTTGTTGCAATTCACAGACATGATCATTATGATCAATATCACTTTAAAAATTGTAACATTTCAATTATAGTTTCCTTCTGTGTGCTAGAATAAAAACATTGATTAAAAATAAGACCAATTGGTACATGTGAAATAAGAAGGACTTGCAGTTCTGCGATTGTCTTAACCTTTATGCAGTTTTTCTTTGTACATGTAATTCCCAGTACTTCATGGGCATGGCTGTTGGCCAGACATACTTGGTGATTCTTCATCCATTTACAGACCTCACACATTACTAATTAGCACTGTTTTGTATCAATAGTTGCTGAATTTAACACATTTGCATGGTGTTATATGGAGTCACTGAACTTCAGATTTGGGAGGGTTTTAAAGTTATCTAGTCCTCCCAGCACAGGAACCCCCAGCTAGCATCTCTACAAATGACCATCTCACCTGTTTAAAACCTCAATGCATAATCAATAAAGATATTTTCAGATGGTAAAACAAGTAAAACAGAGGACTACATGTTTTGGGCTGCTTGCTGAAATATTAAAAAGGTGCTCAACTCTGCACTAAGTCACCCTTTGCTTTGATGACTTGAAATTGCCAATTGTTTGATTTTTTTTCTCAATTCTAACATTTTAAAACAAAACAGGAGGTGTCTGATGAGCTTCATTCGTCTCCCCTTATACTAATAAGACATTTTGCTCATGCCCCTTGGCTCACAATGAATTGCTTCTGCTTGTTTATCTTAGAGTTGTGAATGCTTTCTCTCCTCCTTTCTTTCTTTTTGAAGTTCACTATCTTTTTGCTTTTGCCTTGTCAACTTGCTGTGGTTAAAAAAAATGTCAAATGTCTGCTGCCCATCCTACAGCATCAGAATGAACCTCTCCCATTTGAATCATGGACTACTGGTGTCTTTATGCGCAGTTATCAAGCCCACATTTTTTAACTTTGCTATTCCCTCTGAGCTGTACAAGTGCAGGCATCAAAGCAGCAATAGAGGAAATGTGTGATCACAACAATAACAACAGCTACCACTAGGATCATGTAGTATTAAACCATCTCTGTATAAAACATTGTTGTAATGGGTATGGTTTACATTGATGGGTCACTGGACATTTCATGCTTTTAACTTGTTTGAAGTGTGCTTTATTCAAGAAATGCACTGACATTCTTATAATGTAGTGAACAAAATGCTAATGAGACTGTCTTGTGCTGACTAGAATTAATCAGGTGCATAAAGCTGATTTGAGATAAGTGCACTTGTTGGCTTAGAGCCTAAACCTTAGATGTTAGACAAGAATTGGTTGTGGTGAAGTATGTAATTGACTGAAAGCTCCTTAGGATATGCTGCACAACTTGGAAAAGTGACTTTCCAGACAAAAATGTCATTTTCTAACATAAATAGGGATGATGTATATGTGTATGTCTGTATGTATATGTGTGTGTGTATGCATTTATTTATTACGATGTTTCTGTTATTCTGTAAAATTGTATGTTCATTAATTGTGCAATATGAAAGGAGCCCCTGCTGACGCAGTGGGTTAAACCACTGAGGTGCTGAACTTGGTTGGCGGTTCGAATCCAGGGAGCAGGATGAACTCCTGCTGTTAGGCCCAGCTTCTGCCAACCTAGCAGTTCAAAACATGCAAATGTGAGTAGATCATAGGTACCGCTCTGACAGGAAGGTAACGGCACTCCATGCAGTCATGCTGGCCACATGACCTTGGAGTTGTCTATGGACAATGCTGGTTCTTCGGCTTTGAAATGGAGATGAGCACCACCCCCCAGAGTTGGACACGACTAGACTTAATGTCAGGGGAAACCTTTACCTTTACCTATTGTCATGCTGGCCACATAACCTTGGAAGTGTCTAAGGACAATGCTGGCTCCGGCTTAGAAATTGAGATGAGCACCACCCCCCAGAGTTCGACACGACTAAACTTAATGTCAAGGGGAAACCTTTAACTTATGAATGTTAGAGAAGTGGAATAACATGTCTAAATACAAATTTAAAATACATATTAAAACTACACAGAAGAGTAAATACAAAAAAGAAGAGAAAATACAAAAAAAACCCCTAAAACTACCATATATAAAAAAATTACAATAAAAAAGAAAATAATAACTGAGTACACACAACAACAAAACTAAAATAAAAAAAGAAAATAAAAGATAAACAAATAACTTCCCATTTCCTGGATAGTGGTTATAATTGTCAAACCAACAAACTTTCACTAAATATCTTACTTGCACTTCTACTAATCCAAAGACTTATTTTTAATCAGAATGCCCGGGTTATCCATTTTTACAAGGTCATACAGCCTTATCAACCAGTCTTGCATTGCTGTGCTGATATATTTCCATCTATGTGCATATAGATGTCTGGCAGCTGTAAATTATGTACACAATTATTCTTTTGTGTTTCAATTTGTGTTTCCATCAAATCCACCAGAAAAGTTCAGGTTTCATTTGGATTTTTATTTTTCAAATGCCCTCCAACATCTTATGGGTCTGCACCCAATATTTCTTAACTTTGTCACAAGTCCATCAAATATGATAACATATTCCCTCCTTTTGGTAACATTTCTAAAACATGCTATAGATTTTTCTTATAAATTTCTGATCATCTTTCAGGTGTCAGATACCATCTACGCTTAATCTTGCACCACTTTTCTTTAAGGTCATAGCTTGACCTTGAATTAATAATCATAATTGAGAGGGATTGTTAGAACTATAAAATCCCTTTGACACCTAAGGTGGCCACTTTGATAACTCAGTTGATGACCCTCCTGATCCAGAAGTACTCCCTGGAATTCTATTTTCACATTATTAATGAGAAGTTGGCTGCTAATATTCTGTGCTCTGTTAAAAAGACATTTAAATTAAAAATGAAAATACCTCTTTCTTAAATTTGTACACTAGAATTTACAGGCAATTAACAAATTTTTATAAATATTTACTACATGCATCCCATTAGAGTAGGGTTGGAAATCATGTGTATCTCCAGATATGCTGAACTGCCGCTTCCAGTATTGCAAAATGAGGGATTCCAAGAGAATGCAGTCCATCAACAACCACATAAACCTATTCCTGCTTAAAATGATCTTTCTGAAATGCAAATTGAGTCATAACAGTAAGTAGCATATTGTTGCTTCAGAGTTATATAAAATCCAGTTTAAAGTCTTTCTTGAACTACTATTAGCTGTTTGTTTTTTCCTCCACTATTGCCTGTTGTCAAGTGTTTGCTGTTCACAGCACAATAATTCCTCATTTTCCTAATCCTATCCGCCTTGTTTGCCAGATAAAGGCAGTCAGTCTTGTTTCTGATACAGATTGGCTAAAATAACTGAATGTGTTTGTGTAACTTGAGGCCTTCATCTCTGAAGTCTTGCTAGACAGGCACTTAAAACATGAATTTTCCAAGCAAAGTTTCCATGAAAAAGGACGAGATCATGACTTGATTCCAAATGATGCTTCATCTGACTACATATCCTGTACTTGGGACTTTTATCTCCTCATTAGCTATGTCTCTAGCACTCAGAAATTGGTTTCGCTTTAGCTGAAAATTGTATTACATTTTTAACAAAACAAACAGACAGACAAAACACAAAGTTTGCAAGCTTGGTAGTTGATTAAATGTCTTTTGACCAGTATCTGGCCACTTGGAGTGCCTCTGGTGTTGCTGCAAGGAGGTCCTCAATTGTGCATGTAGCAGGGCTCAGGTTGCATTGCAGCAGGTTGTCAGTGGTATGCTCTTCTCCAAACTCACATGTCGTGGATTCCACTTTGAAGCCCCATTTCTTAAGATTGGCTCTGCATCTCGTAGTGCCAGAGCGCAGTCTGTTCAGCGCCTTCCAAGTCGCCCAGTCTTCTGTGTGCCCAGGGGAGAGTCATTTGGTATCAGCCATTGATTGAGGTTCTGGGTTTGAGCCTGCCACTTTTGGACTCTCGCTTGCTGGGGTGTTCCAGTGAGTGTCTCTGTAGATCTTAGAAAACTATTTATTGATTTAAGTCATTGATACCCAAAGGATGAGCTGGAGATGTCACTGCCTTGGTCCTTTCACTGGGCCAGGTGTCAAGCTGTTTTCATGTTCCTTATCATGGGAACTCTCTGGTAACAATTCAGAAAGCAAATCATCATCCCCACACACCTCAGGGACATTCTAATGGGAAACTACACTTTGAACAGGAATCTTCTGGTCATTCTCTGCATCAATATCCTTGACCAAACCCTACAGCTCTACTTTCTAGAAACTGCTTATACTGAACATGGACCCAGTTGCAACTTTGTGTTGATATGAATGAGTGAGGAGTCAAGATATAAAGTAAGAAGACTGTTTAGCCTGTGAATAAGTCTTCTGTTCTGAATAGTTGGTTGGGGATGCTGAGATTTCCAAATCCAAAATGTAGCTCTGGTTAAAATTAGCCTAGGATTCCAGAAGTATCAAAAGGATGCCAAATGACAGCCTAAATATTCCTGTAAGTTCTTCTTGTCAGATATTTTCCTTGCTTTTTGGGGGGTATTGCTTACAGAACTAATTAAGAAGAGATTGTTATTAAAGAAAGCAACAAAAAGAATGTATTTCAACAGACACGTTGATTAGAATTTAATTAGGGCTAGCCACATATTGCCAAGAGCATTTGACAGATGTTCAGACAGTGCTATGCCAAAAAAGCCACGTTTTCATCTGACTTATGATGCCATATGCATTTGCAATAAATGTCTATGCACTTGTATAATACCACAATAATTGGAAAGCCTCCTCATGCATTGTCTTACTGCACATTAAACAATATATAGATCTATACTGAGATATTATAAATTGTTGATAGATTTTAAACAGCCAAGGCTAAATGCCAGAATCAGCATGGAACATCATCATCATCATCATCATCATCATCATCATCATCATCTTTATTTGTACCCTGCCTCATCTCCCCAAGGGACTCAGGGCAGCTCACAACATAATTAAATAACAGTAACATACATGAAACGTAAGCTAAATGTCAAAAAAACCAAGATTATGGCAACAAGAATGATTGACAACTGGAAAATAGAGGGAGAAACCGTGGAGGCCGTGACAGACTTTGTATTTCTAGGTGCAAAGATTACTGCAGATGCAGACTGTGGCCAGGAAATCAGAAGACGCTTACTTCTTGGGAGGAGAGCAATGTCCAGTCTCGATAAAATAGTGAAGAGTGGAGACATCAGACTGGCAACAAAGATCCGCCTAGTCAAAGCCATGGTATTCCCTGTAGTAACCTACGGATGTGAGAGCTGGACCTTAGGGAAGGCTGAGCGAAGGAAGATCGATGCTTTTGAGCTGTGGTGTTGGAGGAAAGTGCTGAGAGTGCCTTGGTCTGCGAGAAGATCCAACCAGTCCATCCTCCAGGAAATAAAGCCCGACTGCTCACTGGAGGGAAGGATACTAGAGACAAAGTTGAAGTACTTTGGCCACATCATGAGGAGACAGGACAAAGCCTAGAGAAGACAATTATGCTGGGGAAAGTGGAAGGCAAAAGGAAGAGGGGCCGACCAAGGGCAAGATGGATGGATGGCATCCTTGAAGTGACTGGACTGACCTTGAGGGAGCTGGGGGTGGTAACGGCCGACAGGGAGCTCTGGCGTGGGCTGGTCCATGAGGTCACGAAGAGTCGGAGACGACTGAACGAATGAACAACAACAACATACATGAAATAAAACAAATAATAACACATAAAGCAATATAAAAACAAGGTAAGCTAAAACACAAGGAAGCAGTATTAACAAACAAATTATAAACATTAGTTGAAACACCTTCATTCCTATGAATTAAAGGGAGGCTATTATGTTACCTTTCTTGACTACCAGATTTCTCCTGGCTTCTTGTCTATTGGGAGTTGTAGTACAAAAAAAAACCCTTTTGCATGTGGAAGTAAGCTTTATTTTTTATTATTATTATTAAACTTTATTTGTACCCTGCTAGCATCTCCCGAAGGACTCGATGCGGCTTACAAAGGCCAAGGCCTCAACACAACAACAGCATAACAACAATACAATTCAAAATTTTGTGTACTTTTTGGAGAAGAAGCTGAAAGTTGTTATAGAATATTGGAGAACCTTTTCTATTATTGTCTTACAGTAAGCTATCCCCACATATTTTGTCTACAGAAGCAGAAGACTGAAAAAGTTCTTAGATAATAAAATGTGACATTCTGGAAGTGGCCATTTTACGCTGTATTCATTGTTTGTTCAATGTAAAATGGTCAGTTCCAGAATGTCACATTTTCCACCCCTGTACTGACAGGAAGCAAGGCCAGCACCTCTTGCAAAATATTAATCTTGCTGTGCAAACAAGAAGTTTATCTCAAAAGACAATGAGGATATGGCTAATGCTGTATATACTCATGTATAAATTGACCTGATGTGTAAGTTGAGGGCAGATTTTGGACCCAAATTATGGATCGCGAAAAGGCCTTTTTGGTGCATTATTTAAACTGTTATGTTTATTCATATCATGATCTGATCACCATACTCAATATATCCCATATGCATGGGGGTATTGGGGTAATGATACAAAAGGTTTGCTAGGCTAGACCCTCTTTCACTCAGACTCAGCCCCCCCCGACACTCAGCCCCCCCCAACCCCCTGAAAAAAATTCAGCCCCCCCCCCCCCGAAACAAAATCCTGGCTACGGGCCTGTTGGGGGTTATTCCACGAGAGCGGAAAACACCAATGTCAACTCAAGGAACCAGCCGCCCCTGACCACCACTTCCATTTCCCCATCCAGGCATTTGAAAAGGCCATAAACAATGCCACTGCAGAGACAGTAGAAGGGGTTAGTGTTTCTTTTAGGTTCTCCGAAAATGGACTAAGCTCTTACCTTTCGCCACTCTACTCAGCAAAGTGGATGGTTTATTTTTTATTAATAATTAAGGTACAATACTCACATTGACCTGTGGCTATGTTGACCCAGGTTTTGTGGGGTTGATTTTTTGACTAACATTTCTAGACTTATACATGTGTATGTTGGGTATATAGATGTTAAATTTAAAATTATATTTATAGATGGACATTTAGAAATAATCATTATAAGGTTACGTGACAGCCATTTGTTGTAGTGGCTTGAGCATTGACTAGGACTCTGGGAGAGCAAGGTTCAAATCCCTGTTTGGTTATGGAAACTCACCTTTTCTCAGATTCAGAGGAAAACAATTGCAAATCTTGCTGAGAAAACTCTTTTATTGGGTCACCTCAGAGTAGTAGTTCCCAACCTTTGGTCATCCGGGTGTTTTGGACTTCAGCTCCCACAGTTCCTAACAGGAAGAAATCCAAAACAACTGGAGGACCAAAGGTTGTGAACCACTTCCTTAGAATCACCATAAATTGTGAAACAACAATAGCAAGGTTAAACAATATCATTTTGAGACTAAACAGATAACATGACTGTGTTTGGCCTGCTGTCTAAATGACACCTCATGACTGTTTCAAAGTCCCCCTTGTTTTTCATATTGTTCTTTCTTGCAAGGGAGGAGGACTTCAAATGCATATCTTTTTCCTCGCAGCCCTTTAAATAGAGGATTGCTATTTGTAAATACACATTACTCCTTATTCCTACTAGTAGAAGTTGCAGGGTTCTCGCTTGCCCCAGGACTTCTGAGTTGTGATTTACACCTTGTTCCCTAATACATTTATATTACAGCAATAATATTTTACATGCTCACTGACTATTGTATATGAGACCATTAGAAATGTCTAAATCCAGTAATTTCTAGAAGTACAGTCATGTCAGTCAGTTGATGTAAACACAACCAGGAGTTGTCCTGAAAGAAAGAAAAGTTCTGCCAATGGATGCAAAGACAAAGATTCTGCTTTAGATCTAGACACTTCATGTGCTATTGTACACATTCTTTTAAAATTGAAAGAGCAGTAACTCTATTACTTTTATTAAAGGAAATACTGTATATACTCTAGTATAAGCCTAATTTTTCAGCCCCTTTTTTGGGGTAAAATTAGGTGCCTCGGCTTATATTCGGGTCGGCTTATACTCAAGTATATACAGTAACTGGAAAAGGTAACAATCGAAACACTTCTCATTTTGATTCTATCTAATTGCTACATGATTCCCCTAAAATCCTAAAGATCCTGTGTAAACTCTTAGGGAGTTTTCTTTGGCCAATTTTAAGTACACCTTACCAGGGAGAGTTTCCATGGGAATTCAACTGGAACTAACAAGCGTTGCTATTTGAAATACATGTTAGAAATGTCTCCTAAGAATGTATTTATGTTTTACATGGTTTCAGAAAAATTGATGGAACTAATCTAGAAGAGGATAATATTGAACTGAATGAAGAAGGAAGACCTGTGCGAACAGCAAACAAACCTCCTTTATTTGATTGCTATTGTTGTGGACTACCCAAACGCTACATCATTGCTATCATGAGTGGCTTGGGGTTTTGCATTTCCTTTGGAATTAGATGCAATCTTGGCGTTGCCATAGTGGAAATGGTTAACAACAACACTATCTATATCAACGGAAAACCAGAGCTCGAGGTATGTAAGAACATATCTTAATGCTACAGATTAGCAACAATCCTGGGATTTTATTTTATAAGACATCTATATAGTCACTAGAAAATTAGATAATTCTTATTTCGTAGTTTTTAATCGTAGACATATTGTACACGTTATACCAAGATCTTGGGCTTTGTGGACTGTATGAGATAGTCAGTTACATGGAAAAACAAAGACTTGCATTAGAATTGAGATGCATAAATTGTACAAAGTAAGAGGAGCTGTAGGAACCATGGGTATTTTAGAAAATGCATTGAGAAATATCGTTCCACAGTCTTTTGTATTCAAACTAAGCATGAAGCTTCCCCATATGGTTAGAGTTTTTTTGCTTCCTAGAATTTAGAAAATCATAATGAATTAATGTTAGATGTAGACTACTGGGCTATTATGCAGGTTTGTCCCTAGTTAACTGTGCCTATATACAGCATTTTCACTGCGGATTATTACTGCATTCACTGAACTCTACAAGGCATCTAGATGATGTTGTCTTCAGTTTCCAGCTTTCTAGTGCTTTTGCTGTACTTCTTCTATCTTTTTTCTTGCTAGAAAAAATCTATTAAGGAAGGGAGGGGGGATGAAATAACTTCATTATGCCTTTTTATTGTGAACAGTGGGAGATTCAGGTTATAAGCATCTTGCAATATTGCATTTCTGAACATAGCACTTATAACCCCCACCTTTACTCTAAAAAGCTTGAGACTGCATACATGAATCTTCACTCACATCATTGTATCCTATCTCCACAAAAAAATCCTGTGTGATGTGTTAAACTGTAGATCATCCATTGTGTCACAATTATGGAGCCAGCAAATTGTTAGCTTCACAGCATGGATGTAAATTAGGGGTAGTGGTCCAAGGCAAGGAGTAGAAATGTTATCTGTGCATCTGTTGCTCTTACAGGCTCAAGAGAGCTCATTTTTATGCAAACAGGTAGGCCATTAGCTAGAGTAGAAATGCTCAAAATAGTGTTAGTTCTCTGTTTTCCTTTCTCCAACATTGGGCCCAGGAGTATTTTGACTGATGTTTCTCGAATAATCACAAATATGTAGAATTGTACTTGTGTGTCCTGCATGAAGATGCAACAATCATCTCTATAAGCCTGATAAAATCCAGAGAGGAGTTATATAATCATCATTTCCTAAAAATATTTGATTTCATTTTGCTGCACCTCAGCTAACCAATGAACAAAGTGCTTCAGGTTGTGCTAATTTCCATAGCTTTTGACACTGAAAGATGGGGCACTTTGGCTCATTGACATCTACAACATTCAATACATTACTACTTAGTTGCTTCCATTCTACCACAAACCAAGGTACTAACTCTTTGCTTTCGTGTAAACACTGTTTTATTTGTAGAAAGCACAATTCAACTGGGATCCAGAAACAGTAGGACTCATTCATGGTTCATTTTTCTGGGGTTATATCGTTACGCAAATTCCAGGTGGCTTCATTGCAAATAAACTAGCAGCTAACAGGTAAGATAAGGGGCTATAATAAAGCAATTACTATAATTTCTGTATTATCTAATACTATATTAACTCAGACTAGGTAATATTTTTCTGTAACACTGTGATTCTAGCAAGCTGCTTTGTGGACTAACACAATGAATATGATACTACTCCTTTGAGACATTAGTAAACAACAATACAATTTATTTCTATGTAGTTTAAGATGAAGGCATGCTCTTTCCCATGTAATAATCTTGACTGTTAACCTAATGGACTTAAATGATTTTAATTTGCTAGTCTCACTACAGTATTCAATTCTAAAGGGTTCTGAGGAAAGACACACAGTGATCCATAGATGTAAAAGAAAGAGACAAGCTCATCCAGACAGGACCAATGTCACGGGGGGAAGTGTTTATATTTGGATGTTTGTGAAGGAGGATGAGGCGGGATCTACACTGCCCTGTATCCCAGGATCTGATCTGAACTGGATTATATGAGTATACACTGCTAGATAAGTGGGGATACGAAGAAAATCTGGAATGAGATTCTGAGATATAGGGCAGTGTAGATTCATTACTATTGAGATTACTATTCCCAAATCTGCTTTGTCCCGAATCCAGCAACACTGGATGTATCAGTATTACATAGTTGTAGTAGATTGTTACTATTCTCTCTGCTATGCCATCCTGGAATTTGTAGTTTGGTAAGTGAACTTAGAAATCTCAGAACGTCTCTGAACTGCATCACAGGAGTTAATTATTAGTTTCTCCCAAAGTACCACCTCAAAATTCTGTAAGAGGGAGATATGATAGTTAAAGTGTTATCAAATTGCTATAAATGGTGCAATGTGGATACAGTAATTAATAATGTTTGTTGAAATCCTATTGTCAGTGGCTGGTGCTGGACTTCTATGTAAATCAGTCATATTTACAAGTTTGCAGTACTTCTGGATCTGTTCACGGAGAAGCAGTTGTAGAATTTAAATAGTCAGGATGAAGGGGCACTTTAAAACATTGTCCCTCACTGTTTGTGCTTGACAGCGATCTCCAGAACTTCCACTTAGTTTACCTTACTTTGATTTTTTTAAATTTTGTGTCAAAAGCATTGCATAAATAAGTATAAAACTAATAAAATAGATGGAGCACAAGCAGCTAAATAATTTTTAACCAAAACTGGGCAACAACGATCGCATTGTCTGTAGCTTTAAAACAATTCTTCATCTGTGCATGAGGCAGGGCATTGTGGGCAAGCATACAGATGTGGAGTTGTTTGTTCTGCTCTACAGTTCCACAAGGTGGAAGATTCTTCTAGATAGTGCCATTTTGTCAGGTTGTTTGCTAACATATAGTATATTTCCTATACAAATTAATTATAAAACACTATGCCCCCATCTCTTTTTTTCTCAATCTTAGAGTGTTCGGAGCTGCTATTTTTTTAACATCAACACTGAACATGTTCATTCCTGCTGCTGCCAGAGTACATTATGGTTGTGTGATGTTTGTGAGAATTTTGCAAGGTCTTGTAGAGGTATGTATGTTTGTGCAATTATATGATGCTATATTAGATCAGTGCTCAATATGGCAACTTCTTGGCTCAAATTATAATGAGCCCAATGGAAACTATGAATACATGGGAATGACATTTATTTATTTATTTATTTATCTATTTATTTATTTATTTATTTATCTATTTTCTGTGCTTATACCCTGTTCTTCTCACCCCCAGAGGGGGACTCAGGGCAGCTCACAAACTATGGCAATAATTCAATGCCAGATTCAGACAATAACATAACAATAAAAACAATATTATAAAACTGTAAAAAATATGCATATCAATTAAATATCAATTAAATGTACATGAATCAGCAAAAGTAATTTTAATTGAATTAGTTTGCCTTCCAACAGCCAGTCATTAATTAATCAATTGATGATATATCTGGGTATTAGTCAATTTACACTGTCTCGCCAAATAGATTTTGAAGTACAAATGTTGCTGTCTAAGCCTTTTCACCTGTTCTAAGCCTTTAGAATATAATTGTGTTGATGTTTACTCTTTACTCTAGGAGTTGATAAATTGAAGCTTTCCAAATGTTGTCAGATTGCAGCTCCCATCAGCCCTAACCTGTATAGTCAATGGTGAGCAATGCTGGAAGCTGCAATCTAACAACATCTATAGAATTGTTTTCCTGCACTTGGATATGAGAGAACTGCCCAATATCTCTACAGACATCAAGATACTGAGTCTGAGTTTACGTTTCATGAAATATTTGGGGAACCCATATAAACTTACCCAGGGAGGGTGCGAGAAGATTGTGAAACTGTGTATTTTTTTTAAAGGTTCTGAAGCATTAATACACAGGCAACTCACCACATTGCTGAACTTCTTTTCTTCATCAGTGGTTTCTCTAAGTAATGAGAATCCTGATCCTACACATTTTATTTTGGAAGGGTGTCCATTTGTGTTTTTAGTAAGACTTACTCCTTATAAATATGCATAGGATTATATAGACATAGTCCAGTTAGTTGGCAAGAATCAAAATGCTATATCCAAAGTGATAGAGGCTGGTGGTTTCTATGTTAGGGGAGGGAATGAATTGATCCCAGATTTTAAGAGTGTGAGAATATTTAAGTTAGTTAATTTGACAATTTATTGGCTTTAGACTTACAATCTAATAAGACATGCTATATAAGGGAAATGGCATGACATTGGGGGAAAAGATGCTAGCCATCTCTCAGGACCCTTCCACACAGTCATATAACTCAGAATATCAAGGCAGAAAATCCTACAATATCTGCTTTGAACTGGGTTATCTGAGCTCACACTGCCATATATCCCAATTCAAAGTAGATAATGTGGGGTTTTATTCAGCTGTGTGGAAGAGGCCTCAGAGGTAAATAGCAGTTGCAATTGGCATGAAAGTGAGGACCTCTCACCAGGTTCTGGACCATAGCATTATGATGTCCAAGGTGTTTAGGTGCAGAACACCATTCTACAAATAGATTCCAAAATTTTGGTAGATCCTTTCAAGTTTGAATGAAAATTTAAAATAGGTTCACCATTCCACTCACATGGGAACCACCAAACGAGGCGATTCAGTAAAAAACATGAATGGTGTGCATAAATTGTTTCCTAGGGAGTCACCTATCCAGCATGCCATGGAATGTGGAGCAAATGGGCTCCTCCCTTGGAAAGAAGCAGGCTTGCAACCACATCTTTCTGTGGTAAGTTGGACTAGTTTGAGATCTTTAAAATAATAATACAATGTTTTTCTTATACAGTTAAAAACACAAATCATGATTATTGTTTATCATTAGAGAACTTTTAACAGCTACCCAGTTCAGCCAATGAAAAGGCAGTATGCAATTCCCAGAGGATGGTTTTCAAAATTTCAAGGACATGCATACTGTAATTGATTTGTCTCAGAATAAAGTCTAGGATAAAATTCTTATTGATCATATTTCAGTGCAGCAGAAATGCTTTTCATCTTCTTTGGTCCATTTTAATATCAGTTTCAGTCACTGGAAGGATGAATATTTTTCTTTGCCTCATAGTTCGTGCTGTGTTAATGATGAGGCAAAGAAAAATATTCATCCCTCTCTCTTTAAAGTTCTCCAATGTTTGCCTTTCCACATTTCACTTCAAATTCAGATATTTCCTGATATCAAATATTGCTATATCATTTCTTTTTTTCACTGAAATCTCAACATCCATCCTCTTGTCACTTTAACATATCTAATAAATTTTGCACAACCAGATTACCAATTACAGTATGATAGAACACACACACACACCTTTCATCTCTGGCTTTATACTGCTACTGACTTCATACTGCTAGTAATACTGCTAGTAATAGCAATCCTGTCAGTTTATGATTCCTCTACATTTAGGCTGCCATCTTTTATAACTCTTCATTCTTCTCTGTGTTACACAATTTAGTTCCAGCTTGTTTGTATGCACACTTAAAACTGGAGTGGATGTGAAAACAGCAAATGCAAATGTGTTCTTTTCTGTAACCAACCTTGCCTTATGGTGACTTCTGATCTAAAGAGGAAAATTACACAAAGAAATGTTTTTCTTTACTTCCTGTCTTCTTCAGTGTTTGAATAACTTCCTAGTTATGTTTGTTTGTAGTGAATGATTGAATGGGTGATTGGAAAATGCATTTTAAGTTACAATGAATACAGAAAGTGTGAGCAACAGCAAGTGAAACTAATTTTTCTAATGCATTATTCCAAGGGCTGCTCATCATGAGTTGTTCTCAACATGAGCAGCAGTGGTTCATTTCTTTGTTAACTGTTCATTAACACAGCACGAGCTAATGTCAAATGAAGGTAAGAATAACACCTGAGTCTGTCCATCCCTTAGAATAATTCATTAGCAACACAATTAAGAGCCAAAGTAAAATTTCATGGCTTGTCTGTATGAGCTGTCAATAGGAACCAAATATCACTTTTTTTACCCTTTTACCTCTGGCACACTTTTCCCATTAGGTTAATTGACTTAATTCAGTCTTTGTTCTCTTATATTTTATGATACTAGAATGTAGCTATCATCAAAATGGCTTCTCCAAGAACTCTGAGGGCGATATTCCATAACTGCAAGTTCTCCTATCATATTGACTACTGGAATTAAGAACTTATCCACTGGGTTTTGCTCTTAAATGGATGAGTTTGAGTCAGTTTAAATAATAACTTTTCACTAGCTTCAGATCTTCCATCGAAGCAGCCAGTAATATTGATCTGCTTGGAACTGGTTTTGGATATTAACTTTCTGAGAGACATAGTCATTTTTGGATATTAACTTTCTGAGAGACACTGCTGACATTAAGGAATAATCTTCAGACATCTTGAGGATATATGACCCTTTCCAGCCTTGAACAGGAAAGCTTCATATGGGAACGCCGAAGGCATTAATTAGCTATGCAGGAAGAAAGGTAGCAGGTGTAGTAGGGAGGCTATTAATGCTCATGTGTTAATTCATGGGGATGTAGATTATATGGTGGCATCATGCTACATTATCAGCTAAATAGAGTTTCTACTTTCAGACAACTGAGAGAGATCTTATACATTTCACCAGGGTGGAGAAGCAAATTGCTGGGGATTCAGATGAACAAAGTACCAAATGTCTGGAGAGCTGAGGTTTTCCCATCCCTGTTTGTAAACCGTCTTCATTAGGAATAAAGATTTTGCAGTAGAAGTTCTAATTCTCTGAATAGTCTTCTTTGTCTTTCCAAAAATGGGCAAAGCACTTTGGAAATGAGGAAAATGAACAAAATCTTGTAAATAGCTTAATAGGATTAGTAAGACAAATAGGAAATATTCATTTAGTGCAGGATTGGTGGACCACTTCATCTTCCTGAGATAGAGGAATGTAAAGTGCAGATGTATTAGTAGATTACATAGTATAATGACCTAGAACTTGAAAAACTGGACATCTGTATATACAGTAAAACTGACAACAGCAACCCACTATATCCCCTTTATACTAGAATAGGAAAGTAGAGGTCTTCTACATGTTGAAGTACAACTCCAATTTCCCTTAATCATTGGGTATGCTGGATAGCTTGGTTGGGAAATATAGTCTTTAAAACATCTAGAGGGCCTTTAATCCCTCCCAAATATAATAAAATAAAGACAAGATGATAATGTTAAATTCAAAAGTTTTTTTATTTTTAAAATCATATTGCAGAAATTACATTTTTGATCAAGATCAAATACAAATCATTGGTATGATTGCTCCCAACTCCCAAAATCTACACATAAAACATATTCACTTCAAAAGAGTGCCTACAATAATTGTTCCCTATTGTACTATTTCCCCTGTCCTTTGGGTTGAAGACATTCATATATAACCTTGCCCTTCCTTCCTGGTAAAGCATTCACCCATTCTTCCCTTTAGCACCAGAATCATCAAAAATTACAAGCGAAAATCCTAACAAAGACCAAATTATGGAACCTATTCCCAAATGTTTTCCCTACTTCCCACAACGTTCAAAGATAGTTCCCATTCCACAACAAATTTCTTCTCTACTTCCATCTTGTCACATCCCTCATTCCAAAGTCTATCACTATCCATTTTCTTTTTTACTTTTCTTTTTTTTTCTTCTTCACTGCAAGTCCCCATTCTTTGCCATCTTCCCCTCCCTTCTCTAATGTTGCACACCCTCTCTTCTTGCATCTAGTGGTTTATCTAGTTCAAATCTGTTTCTTCTGCAAAACTCCCTGACCTTCATCATGGAATCTGGTACATATTGTGTCTCTTTAAAGTATCAAGTTATACAGTACCTAAATATACTTTGATCCAAATTCTCTTTCCAAACAATTTGTGCATGAAACAAAATTTCTGTACACTGAACCTTCAGAAAGCAACGTTGTCATTATTTCATCCTCCATGTGGACAAATCTTAATTTTGAAGCATTTTGGATTTCAGATTTCTAGATAAGGGATACTAACCTGTAATATGAGCTTGTATCACCTGGCCAGCAGTAGCTCTGGTTTTGGTGTGAAGTCACATGAAGAGTAGATACTAGAGACAAAGTTGAAGTACTTTGGCCACATCATGAGGAGACAGGAAAGCCTAGAGAAGACAATTATGCTGGGGAAAGTGGAAGGCAAAAGGAAGAGGGGCCGACCAAGGGCAAGATGGATGGATGGCATCCTTGAAGTGACTGGACTGACCTTGAGGGAGCTGGGGGTGGTAACGGCCGACAGGGAGCTCTGGCGTAGGCTGGTCCATGAGGTCACGAAGAGTCGGAGACGACTGAACGAATGAACAACAACAACACATGAAGAGTAAGCTGAGAATCACCATCAGTGTCTATATCTTCACAATGCCTGCTTTCTTATTTAAACAAATTTGCTTCTACAGCCTTATCAATAGTTATACCTGGGATAAAAATGACTCAAGAAACTAGGATTGTCATTGTTTTCTATAATAGCATGATATCTCCATTTTATGAAATGATGATGGTGTCACTTTTCATGTGGAACTTTCTATTCATTGTCAGTGAATCCATCAATGATAAATGATAGTGGGTTGGATGGGTTATACACTAACTGCTCATTCATATGGCATACCTTGATTCTACAGGTTCCTACGCCGGAGCAGTGGTTGCTATGCCACTAGCAGGTATTTTGGTACAATACATAGGTTGGTCATCTGTCTTTTATATATACGGTAAGCAGCCCAATAATGAAAAACTAAATCTGTGTTAAAGGTCTGTATAATAGTGATCTAATCTATTTTAGATACAATAATGCTCACATCTTTGAAAATGTGATTCCACTCAGAATCCCACATTGAGCTGCAGTGGTGCAATGGGTTAAACCCATGTGCTGGCTGAACTGCTGACCTGAAGGCTGGCAGTTCGAATCTGCAACACAGGGTCTGTCAGCCCCAGCTTCCCATGCAGGGATACGAGATAAGCCTCCCATAGGATGGTAAGACATCCGGGTGTCTCCTGGGCAATGTCTCTGCAGACGGCCAATTCTCTCACACCAGAAGTGACTTGCAGTTATGTCAAGTCGCTTCTGACATGATTTTTTTTAAAAAAAATCTGCAACCAGAATGTACTCTAAATGGTAAGCTTTTCAAGCTCTGAAATATAATAATATTACTACACAACACTTTAATAAATATTGTTAGAATAGTTTTACCTGATTTGTTGAAAAATAGAAATTTGACATAAGTTTCACAAATTTGATTATCTTCTTATTTTCCTTTGGAATACAGGAATGTTTGGAATTATCTGGTACATGTTCTGGCTTTTGCATGCCTATGAGAGCCCAGCCGTTCATCCAACAATAACCAATGAAGAAAGAACCTACATAGAAACAAGTATAGGAGGAGCCAATTTAGTCAGTGCCAGTGTAAGTTAATACCAATATCTTAATGCCATGACTGTTTTCTTTTAGCAACTAGTGGATTGCTCAAATCTGTTATAGAAAATAATAAACAATGAGGACAGTGGACAATATGCTGTAGAATACAATTTTGTAAACAGTTTGCCTTCTCATTACTGGTACCTACAATCCTCTGTGCAGTTTTTAATAAGAGATTATAATCCAACTTGTAAACTTGTAAACTTTTAGTGATGCTTATAATAATTATGTAATTCTCCATATTACAGATTTAGTGCAATATCTGATCTCAGTCTAGCGTGTTTTGTTAGACGTACACTTTTTGAATAAGGTACTCTTTAGTCTCAGTAACTGTGAGGCTTACAGAAAAAAGTATTTATAATAAAACTGGAAGTCTGTAAATATTGAGAATGTTTACTAATCAACAGTCTTCTGATCTCTTTGCTACTGGGTTTTTTGGAAATATAAAAAGATCCTTAATGTAATTGATTGGATAATTTTTCTTACTTTATTTTATACAAATATATAGAACAATGCTAACGGTACAGTAGGTTAACCCCAGCTGAAATAAATCTTGCTAATTGGAAGGTTGGCAGTTCGAAGCCCAAGTCAGGGTTAGCTCCTAGCTTTCAACCCAGCTCTTACCAACCTAGCAGATTGAAAACAGCAATTGTGAGTAGATAAATAGGTACTGTTTTAAAAGTGGGGAGGTATTTTGGCACCTATAAGGAAATGCCAGAAAAAAATGCCTGTGATAAAGGAGGAAGTTTACAAACAAAAGCTCTTCAGCAGGGAAGATGGAGCAACAGCACCGCCACCCACCCACCCACTCCCCATTGCCAGAATCGAGCACTGCCTCCAAGATGTCGAATATGGGAAAAGCATAGATAGATAGATAGATAGATAGATAGATAGATAGATAGATAGATATAGATATAGATATATAGACATACACATACACACACACAGAAAGAGAGAGAGAGAGAGAGAGAGAGTTGTCTGTCTTGCCATTGTATAATGGCATTGAATGTTTGCCGTATATGTGTTCTGTGATCCGCTCTGAGTCCCCTTTGGGGTGAGAAAGGTGGAATATAAATACTGTAAATAAATAAATACATACATAAATAATGTCATTTCTAAACCTGTGATATACAGCATATTACTCACCACCACATATTTCTCTGCAGACTTACATTAAAATGTTAAATGGAAGCGCTTGCAAGAAGAAAAAGTCTGTAGATTCGTATGTATATGTATTCAGTAGGTAGGTAGTAAGGTGTAGAACAGTATATGAATTAAATTACAGCATAAATAAAAATTTGCATAGGAATATAATCTCTGGCAAAAATTGCACTAAAGGGAACCTGCTTTAGCAATGTGGCTATGCAACAGTTGGGGCTTTTGAAATTACTGTTGTCTTCCAGGTATTTTAAACCTTCACATTTTTGTTTTCTAGAGATTTAGTACACCCTGGAAGCGATTTTTCACCTCAATGCCAGTGTATGCAATCATTGTGGCAAATTTTTGCAGAAGCTGGACTTTCTACTTATTGCTTATTAGTCAACCTGCCTACTTTGAAGAAGTCTTTGGATTTGCAATAAGTAAGGTAAATAAAAAAAAAACCTTCTTTGACAGAATAATGTCAAAGGATTGATTTCTTTTAAAGTTTCCTAAAAATGAGAGAAGTTGAGTATCTTAAGAAAAAAGCATGAATCTTGTGTTAGCATTGGTCAATATTATTGTTACAGAATTTGCTTGATTTACAAGTGGCTAGTAAAAATCAAAAGGCTTTTAGATCAGGGACAATATAACAAGGTCGCATAACATTACTGACTCTGCCAAATGTCAAACAATCCTGGTAAAATCTGGCTACCAGTATTTTAAAAAACTCTAAAATTATAACAGCAAATAAAGAACAATACTCAAATACAGGGGAACTCCAGACAAGAAACAATCAGGGACAGCTAATCACCTCTCAATATTCCCCCAGGCAGTAACAAGCGACACCTAAAAACGGTCAGACCATCAAATGGTAATCAAGGTGGCCAATTGAAACATTCACACCTAGCTCCAACAGACAAGAGTTCAGTCTCCCAGTTCTTTCATGGCCATATAGCCTGAAAAAGTTACAACAACCCATTGATTCTGGCCATGAAAGCCTTCGACAATACATTCGTCCTGGTAAACACTGGGCTCTTTTTTCTTGTTTACATGCCTTATGCTGGCTGTTCCACAATCATGTTAATTCATGCAGTAAACATGCCAGGGTTTAACTGTGATTGACTGTGCTCTGAGAGGGTTTTCGTTCTCTCTCCCCCCCCCCCCCCACTCTCAAATACTTCCCCATCAGTGGGAGCCATCAGACCACCCAGAACTACAAAGTGAATTACGACAGTGGAAACAGATATGGCACATCAATCCCTGCTTGCAATTCCTCGGTCACAAAAGCATTGCCTTTCTTGAATTAGAAAAGTTGCAAAATTGGTGCCAGAAATGCATAAAGAATAAACTGCAACAGGATGTATATGTGTGTTTATATAAACACACATATATTATCATAACAATTAAAATATCTATCAAATCCTGAGACTTTTTCCCAGTCCACATAAACCACTATTACGATGTTCCCCATACAGCCAAATCGTTTTTTTCTCCTTGTAATCAAGCTATAGGTTCACACTTATTGATACTTTTAGTCCATATTTTTCTTCCGTGGTTCTCTTAATCCTTTTGTAGAGAATCTTTGCTCTAGTAGAAAGATGTTAGCTATAACTCCAAATAGCTTTAGCCCTTGCTTATATCAAGACTTTTGGTTCTGATTCCTGGACATAGTATCAAATCAGATCAATGTAAGAAGAAATTAACATTAACTTATTATGACTAAGATCCCTTATGGCACACCATATCCATTCAGTGCCATTGGACTTACAACTGAGTCATTGCAATTCCTTATGGTCATCCTGTGGCTAGTGGAGAGTAGCAGGAACTGGAAAAGTGTCTGGCCATGAGCAGATATAATCTGATGAGATCCTCTAAAGGTTTAAGTAGTAATCATTTTGCATTTAGCTGTGTTTATCTGGTTCTTCCTGTTTTCCAATAACCACAAAGTAGCATTGAGTGCAATGGCTCAATAGTAAGTTGAGGTGGCCATTGGCCACTGTGGAGGGGAAATGGAATGGTGATCTGTGCAATGCTTCCCCAAAGCTCCTCCAAAACACCAGTTACCTTTCTAGGTGGTAAAACAATAGGGCTGGCAATTTATCTGAGTTATAGGAAGCTATGGTACCTGCCATATTTTACTCAATAATAGTATGGGCTAATCCAGAAAGGCAAAAAAAAAGTATCTGGAAGTACAGTGGAATTTGATTCTAGTACCCATGTGAATACCAAAATACATGGATGCTTAAGCTCTATACTTGGTAAAATAGTGTCCCTTACATAAAATGATGAAAACCCTAATGAGTGCTGGAGACAGCCTGGGGATCTGTGAAATTGTGGGAGGCTACAGAGAGGTCACGAAGAGTTGGAAACGACTGAACGAATTAACAACAACAAAACAGAGAGGTATGCCTGCACATCAGCATAGGGTAAAATCAAGGTTTGCTTTTTGGGAGTATTTTTTTAGCAGTGGTTGGATGAATCCATGGGTGCAGAACCCATGGAAACAGAGAGCCAACAGTATTCAGCATTTGTAGTTACTTTTGCTTTGATTTTACTTGCATATTCCGAGGTCTACATCAGAACTATATATATATATCTCACAGGTTTCTCACATGCCCACCTCCCTTGGATTCTTCCTTCTCTGCTTCCCATTGATCACTTGTCACATCTAGACTCAGGCAATATGGGATGTATTGATTTCCATCCATTTCCATTCAGTATTATTTATTTTTGGTTATTTTATCAATTGTTTTATTCCATAAGCTAAGGTGAAGGAAACATACACAAATTCTAATGGACACAAATGCGTAGAGATGCATAAAATATGATTCCATAGAGCTGTGTTTATTTATTTTCAGGTTGGCCTTCTGTCTGCTGTTCCACATATGGTCATGACCATTATTGTACCCATTGGAGGTCAGCTAGCTGATTTTTTACGAAGCAGACAGATTTTGACAACAACTTCAGTCAGAAAAATAATGAATTGTGGAGGTATGCTAGATTTTGTAGTTGAAATATTTGAATGATTTTTTATTGCCTAAGGCTGACACCTGTTTGATCAATAGTTAAGAATAATTTCTAGATCCAAATGAATTAAGTGTGATGCACTGGACTTATTTTAGAGGAATTAAGGTAAGATGTGGCTGTTTGTCTGTTTGTTTGTTTGTTTGTGTGTATGTATATGTATATCTAGTAAATGTAATAAGGTAAATGATCTGTCAGGAGTGAGATTACAGAATATGGAGAATAACTGGTGATTGACTGAGTGTTTGAATAGGATTTTTAAAGGCTGGGGTGTATAACAATTAAATAAGTAGGAGTATCAGAGATAGCTCATCACACTGGGGCAAACTACCCCATGACGGCTCAGCAAGCCCCACCCCATTGACCCTCCAAGTGCGGAGGAAGCGTTGCAAGACGCTTCCTTGGCAACTACAGAGAGCTAAGTGTTTTCAGGGAGCTCCAACGGAGCAGCCTGCATTTTTGGGCCCTTTCCCCATGAGATGGAGACAGGGACAGGATGCCAACACACCTTGTCCCATTGTCCACGTCTGATGGGGGAAGAAGGGAGGAACTGTTCCTTGACTGATGAGTGTGTTAGTATGACTTTTAAGAATGAAAATAATCTTTTTCAGCTTATGCATTATACAAAGAAGTCCCTCTCTAATTTGGGAGATACTGACATATGCATTGCATACTATAAACATGGATGTGTATCTATAGGGATGATCTATCAAATGCATAATAATGCAGACCACAGCTCTGAACTGTATTAACTTTAATATGAGTCAACTGGGTATTGGTCACATTAGAGCAGTAGGTACAAACCCGCCTAAAGAATGGTTCAGTCGTTTTCAAAATATCTTGGAGTAAATTAAACAAAAATAATATTGAAAACCATTTTGTTTGTGCTATAATTAGAGTTAGCACTGGCTCAGTATGAGAAAGACCTTCCAAAGAAAATGCACAGCTGATCAGACTTGGAATGGATGAATGCATAGATCAAAATCATGGGCACATCTTGTTCAAAAGTACCAGTCTGCCAGACATTTTTCCAGATGCCATGGTTGAAATGCTATGGCAACAGCTGCAATCCAACTACAAATCAGCATGCATATGCCCATCGGTTTCAAACAGCTGAAATATAAAATTATGATTTAGGTCAGTACTTCTTAAACTAACGAATGCGGAGGACCGTTAAGGATTTTCCCTATATTTGTGCTCATTTACTACAACCATCTGTAAATGTTCTACAGACTGGTAATCAATAACGCATCCTTTCATGGGCTATTACTCTTAGTAGCATCAACTAGGTTGTATTATAGCCTCTGATAATATTTTCTCCCACTCCTCCTCTTCTTTCCCTTTCTATCCCATCTTTTCCCCAATTTGGAACTCAAAGTGGAACCTAAACTTGAAAACTTTTTTGATATCTTCTGAAAGGTATTTTAAGGAATGTATTAATTTCCTCTGTGTGTTTCATTTGCAGGTTTTGGAATGGAAGCTACTTTACTTTTGGTGGTTGGCTATTCTCACACAAAGGGTGTGGCTATCTCTTTCTTGGTTTTAGCAGTAGGCTTTAGTGGATTTGCTATTTCAGGTAAACATAAAATCTTAATGTTATACTGGGGTTATGTTGTTTGGCTGATTTGAAGTCAGACATTAGTTTACTGTTTTCTAACTAGTAGAACAACTAAATAACCTGCCGCATAAATATGTTTTATAAATCCTTAAAAGGCTACAAAATGCTTGAAATCTGTAGGGTAATTTTTTTCTAACAATACAGTGCCTTTGAATATTAATTTCATCATTTGAGGTTTAATGACACCTTAAGTTGTCTTGTTTCCATAATGTGAGCTGATTCTTCTCATCAACATTCTAAAAGTAAGTACCTAAAAACAAAACCTAGAAAAGTTAGGTTTTGGACTGTAATTCCCAGACTCTTTCCCAGTCAGGATGATTCTGGGAATGATGGTCCAACAAAGTAACTTTTTAAATCTCTCATAAGCAGAAAGGCAGATTTCCATTGTGGTTTGTTCTGCTTAAGCCACTTTCACTACTATTAAACCAGTGCAACACTTCAGAATGCATATTGTTGACTAGTGTTATGTGTTACAGGATTTAATGTCAATCACTTAGATATTGCACCCCGTTATGCCAGTATCCTCATGGGCATTTCCAATGGAGTAGGGACCTTGTCAGGAATGGTATGCCCTCTCATTGTTGGCGCAATGACTAAACATAAGGTAAGGTATTCAGATAGATCATCTCATAAGACATTCATATACATTACAGACAATTATTATTTTAAGGAACCATTGCCATTGCCAGCTTTAAACCCATTCTGTTTTGAGGGGTTAAGGGCTAACTTTAAATCAGCAGGAGTAGTACAGAATCTAGGATGAGATGTATATTTTGGTGTGCTGGTTATTTTGAAAGGTTAAATAAGAGAATTTGTTCTATGAATTTATTTTTATCTTATAATAGAAAAACATTGTAGTTTAATAGGCTTTCAAGTTTTGGCAACTGTGCCGTAGAATTTTCTGGGCCAGATGTATTTTGAGGAAATTTGCCACTGCCTTCCTCTTAGGCTACTGTGAAAGGGTGACCTCCACCACAACACAAAGTAAATGTCTATGGCTGAGTAGGAATTTCATCCCTGGTCTCTAAGACTTATAGTCCAATACTCAAACCACTACAGCACCCTGGTTATCTTTAGAAAGTTACCTAGGAATAATTGGAATATTTGGAAAAGTCTTGTCATCAATATTTCTATGCAAGAGACAAGAAACATTTCAAAAGAAGTAGGAGGGATCCGGGTATATAGGATCAGCAACTGTTAAAAAACAGCTAACTGGGTAACATGGTGACCTGTTTTTGTTTTAATTGCTAGGCGAAAAACAGGACATGTTAATCTGAAGTGGTTGTTGCCGTTTTCACTAGGCTTTCCCACATAGGCTCACCTACAGCACATGTGGCACTTGTGACATTTTTCCTGGTGTTGAAACTTGTGGAAGACCAACTCAGAGAGAGCTTTTCTTCCTCCAGTTCCTGCTTATTGTTAGTAGAGTTTCACATGTCTTGGAGAAACTTAGTGTTACAAAGCAATTCCCTGAGGCATGGCAATCCTAATGTTTCTGTACCACTCTAGCGCCTTATGAATCCTTTGCAATGAACATTTCCTGTTATTTATTTATTTATTTACCTTATTTATATCCCACCTTTCTACCCCAAGGGGGACTCAAGGCAGCTTACAATTGCACCTCCACAGTGCCTTAAAACATACAGTATCAGCTAAAAACAAAAGTTAAAATTAAGACATTATACACATACTTAAAATGCATTTCAATGAATCACACCATCCAAAGTCAAAGGCCATGCCAAGATCAAAATGCACATTTCCATAAAACATTCCTGTACTGCTCTATTTTTCAAAGGCCTGCTCTCAGAGACAGGTTTTGACTCTCTTTCTAAACATGAGGAGGGAGGGGGCTGTGTCATGTAATGGGTTCAGTGGGGCAACAATTGTTCCATTGACTCACTGAAGTTGCGCCACTGGAGTCCCCAGTGTCTCAATGGGTTAAACCCTTGTGCTGGCAGGACTAAAGACCGTCAGGTTGTAGGTTCAAATCCAGGGAGATTGAACTCCCTCTGTCATCTCCAGCTCCCCATGCAGGGACACGAGAGAAACCTCCCACAAGGATGGTAAAACATCAAAACATCTGGGTATCCCCTGGGCAATGTCCTTGCAGATGGCCAGTTCTCTCACACTAGACGTGACTCGCAGTTTCTCAAGTCATTCCTGATGCACACAAAAACCTCCACTGAAGTTGCCCAACCCTTTACCAAAGAAACAAGGTTTTCAGTGCTGTGTCTACTATAATTTTAGTGTTTGATTATATTCCCTGTGCAAAAAACATGTGTCATGTAATTCTTTACAGACTCGTGAAGAATGGCAAAATGTCTTCCTCATAGCAGCCCTGGTTCACTACAGTGGAGTGGTATTTTATGCCATCTTTGCTTCTGGTGAGAAACAGGAATGGGCTGATCCAGAAAGCCTGAATGAAGAAAAATGTGGAATAATTGATGAAGATGAACTAGCTGAAGAGACAGAACTGAATAATGATAGCTTTGTTGGCCCAAAGAAAACGTATGGCGCTACTATTCAAAATGATGAAGGACGAAGGAAAGGGTTGCAAAAGCAAAAAGGGATTGGGCAAGATGTAGAAGAACAGACTTCTTACCAGTATGAACAAGGCAGCTTTCAAGATTCATCATAATTCTGACCATATGTGATTTGTGTGACCATTACCATCCCTGTACAAAACCAGGCAGTAACTATATAGTTGTTTTTATTTTTTGTGAATAATCATGCCAAATGGCTCACAGTCATTTTCAACTTGTATTACAGCAAAATGGGTTAATTAAAAACAAAATTTGGGTGTGTAGTGTCCCAACATTCAAGCCTTGGACTCAATTCTCTGTCCAAAGATCACAGTCCTGTATATCATATGGATCCTTGCTAATATGTAATGAGGTGCTGTACTATGTCACTATTTAGCAATGTAAGAATGATCTTGGCTCCAATACCAGGGCCTTCGATACCTTTAGCAGACAATTCTGTTGTGTTCATCCCTGTAGTATCCTGGAACAGAGAATGTATTGTGTGAGGTATGATGCAATATTTAACCAAAGACTTCATGGTTGTAGGCCATTCATAAGATTCAGCACTTACAACTTGCCGGATCTGTTGTGTGATTTCTTCTCACATCTCAGCTCAGTTGCTGCTGCACAGGACAATTGCAAGGGAACTACACACAAAATCATCATGATTGGACGATTGACTCAACATCTTGAATTTACAGCTTTGTTTATTATAATATTAATGTCACCCTTTCTGTCATTATAGTATTTATGACACCTCTCCCTCCAAAAGTGACTAACAAAACAAAATGTAAATAAACTCCATAAAAATGAGATGAGGAGCAATAAGGGCCAAGAAAAATTCATATCAGCAGCAGCAATCCCTTGAAGCAATATTTGGTATCTATTCTAATATAAATCCCCCTAGATTAAGTCATTTTTCCCCACCAGCCACTGAAAGGAGACCAATGAAGAGGCTAGAGAGGCCTGATAAAGCATTAGATTGGTGCCATGATTGAAAAGGTCCTGCTGTTTGACTTCAGATGGTGTGCAAATGCAAAACAGGGTCCTTTGTGTTGAACAGAGTCATCAATAGGAGGTGCTCCTATAGAGAGAGGTTGTCTTTATATGAGCCCAGCATTGGAGGGTAGCTAGTACTGGGCCGCTAGCTGTAGTTGTACATTTCAGAAGTGTGCAACTACGTTTTGCACATTTCATATTTCAGATGATGACTTACATTGACTTGAGTGCTCAGGTATGCGGTCATATGGAGAGAGGAGGTTTTTATATGAGTCCAGAATATTTAGCATTTGGATGACAGTGTCTGTAAAAGTGGGAAGAAGTCACATAATTTGGGAATCATTTTTTTTTTTTTTGCATTTTAATTCTGCTCTTATAACTTTGCTTATAAACTATTAACCTGACTTGAAAAAGGTTTTCAGGTAGTGTATTCCTGTGTATAAGAGAACAATTGCAATACTTAAGACAACTACATTGGAAGCATGCTGTATAACTTTTCAATCATTGGTGGTTTTCAATGGATCCCAGTGTTTTTGGAATGAAAATTTTCTGTCCAAAAACACTGGGTAGATTTATTTGTTTCACAGTATTATTCCCATAGTAAAATTTAAATAAAACAATTTTTTGGTATTGTGTTCTTACTGAGTCAGCTATGTTATTGTGACAGAAACAGACTATTAATCTCCATTACTGCATTACAAATTTAAAATGGACAAAGGCTTCTTTTCTTAGTATAATCATTATGCCTCTTTCCATTGTTTTGGGATATAGCTATAATTGCTTCTAGATACTTGGTGAAAAGAATTTGGAAGACTTAGCCAACCTGCTAACCAATAGTACAGTGAAACTTTAATTCACAGGATTGGAGCACCAGGGCTTGCCAATTAGCTGGGGCAATAGCATTATTTACTATCCGTGTTGCTCTCTAAACTTTGCTGTAGTGGGACTTGAATAGATAAAATTAGAAGACATAAGCTTTATAAAGATCTGCTCTTGGTAAAACTTAGGCCCCTTCCACGCAGCTGTATAAAATCTGCACTGAACTGGATTATATGGCAGTGTGGACTCAGATAATCCAGTTCAAAGCAGATATTGTGGATTATCTACCTTGATATTCTGGGTTATATGGCTGTGTGGAAGGGCCCTTAGGCTGTGTCTACACTGGTCAGTAAATCTCAGATCAATCTGGAGCAGAAGTCCAATTCTGGGCACACACACTCTTTCAAACCTGCTGTGCTCTTGGTTTGGAGTCTACATGGACCAACTAAGCCAAGAGTGCACCAGTCCTGCCAGACTGTCACATCAACTTCCATATCACTGCTGCCCTTCCCAGTCTATCACAGAGCTCTGAGTGAGATCCTGGGTGTTGCAGGATCTCTGTGCTAGAATCAATAGGGTGCCTGTGCAACCAGGAAGAAAGAAGGAACTGATATAATCTTCTACTTGGTCTCACAGGTGCCTCTGCTGAAGTTAGCATGGGGCACCCATGAGGGTCAGGAGTTCACACAGAGTTCTGGGGCTGAGAATACGTAGCAACGGCAGCAACATGGGCACAAGCAATTCTCTTTTTCCTGTGCTGATGGGCATAGAGATAGTGATGGTGCCTCATGTGGACAGCAGACTGGCCCAAATCAGATCCAGTTCAACAGTTCACATTGCCACTAAACCACAGGATACTCCTGAGCTTAAAGCAATTTCTAGAGCACCCTTGACTTTTTAAAAAAGTGAAAACAAGGTCAGATTTAAGAGGAGGAACATCATGAAGACAGCCAGGAGCCAACTCAGGGAGACTCTGGAATTTAATGCCCATGTCGATGAGCCCTACTTGCAGTTTTGTATACTCCTTGTGGGCACGGCTATGGAGACTATTATGAGCACTGCATGCATTTCAGAATATTTAGTAATCCAAGAAAGCATATTACTGGGACTATAGCACAACCCCACGTGGGGGAAAGGATCCTGATGACTCCTAAAATAATTGGAGTTTAAAAGTCTTAAGTCAAGATTGGAGCCCACCAAAAATACCAGGCTTATTTCAGAGGAAGGAACCCACAAAACCACTTCTGAATATTCCATGCTTAAAAAAACCCTATAAAATTAATGGGTACACCATGGCTCGCTATGTGTTACTTTCAGAAAAATAAAGATAATGAAATTAGTCTGCAGCTACATGGATTTATTAGACAAAAGTAGCTTTAGTAAATAAGACTTCTTTCCATGATTTTGTGCTCCAAAATGGGGCTCTGCCAATCAGCTGTGCTTCACGAATCCTAGGACATTTGCAGCTAACCCTGTGATTAAATCCTTTGTTAATATTAGTTTTAATGTTGGGAATAATAAAAAAAACTAATAGTTTTTCATGTTTCAGCTGATAAAATGCTTTTGCTTTTATTAACCTAGCCCCAAAGTTGGCCATGGAAATCATCTCTGGTTTTCATTAATCACGACATTTCTGTTTCCTCTTCTTGAAACTGTTTATATTATTTACCATATGGTGTTTTCATTTTTTGCTTATCTTCCAGATTATACAAACAGAATCAAAAACATTATTATTAGAAACATAGCTATAATTCTTTGATAATTTTTGAATGCATGTATGCATGTTTTGGAAACAAACTATTTCATTTTTCCTTACCAATTGGTTGTAATGAAGATGTGTTAATTCTCTAATAAACTATTTTTTGCCACAATTGTCAATATTTGGACAAGACCCTCCATCGAGGTTACATATAATAAATATCTACATTTATGGATTTGTGCATTACTTGTGCTATGCAAAACTTGCATAGAATGACTACATTGTGTAACTAAACTAGGGTACCAAATGTGAAATTGCATCCATAACTAAATGTGCATATGCATCCACACTCAATGGAGAAGGAGAAGATGGGGCAATGCTGACAGGGGATAGGGAAAAGGCAGAACTACTTAATGCCTTCTTTGCCTCGGTCTTCTCACAAACAGAGTCTTCAACCTCAGCAAGATCGAGTGGATGAGGGATTGGAGGACATCCAACCCCAAATTGGGAAACAAGTCGTCCAGGAATACCTGGCTGCTCTGAACGCTTTTTTTTTTTTGCTGTGTGGCCAATATGGGTATCCTGAATATGTTCCCGAGTTCAAGAATACCTGGCCGCTCTAAATGAGTTCAAGTCCCCAGGGCCAGATCAACTACACCCAAGACTATTGAAGGAACTTGCGGAAGTCATTACGGAACCATTGGCAATCATCTTTGAGAGTTCTTGGAGAACGGGAGAAGTTCCAGCAGACTGGAGGAGGGCCAATGTGGTCCCAATCTTCAAGAAGGGTAAAAAAGGATGACCCAAACAATTACCGTCCGGTCAGCCTCACGTCGATACCGGGCAAGATTCTGGAAAAGATTGTTAAGGAAGCGGTCTGCAAACACTTAGCAGTCATCGCTAATAGTCAACATGGATTTATCAAAAACAAGTCATGGCAGACTAATCTGATCTCTTTCTTCGATAGAGTACAAGCTGGGTAGATGCGGGGAATGCCGTGGATGTAGCGTACCTGGATTTCAGGAAGGCCTTCGACAAGGTCCCCCACGACCTTCTGGCAAGGAAACTAGTCCAATGTGGGCGAGGCAAAACTACGGTGAGGTGGATCTGTAATTGGTTAAATGGACGAACCCAGAGGGTGCTCACCAATGCTTCCTCTTCATCTTGGAAAGAAGTGACAAGTGGAGTGCCGCAGGGTTCCGTCCTGGGCTCGGTCCTGTTCAACATCTTTATTAATGAAGGGTTAGAAGGCAGGATCATCAAGTTTGCAGACGACACCAAATTGGGAGGGATAGCCAATAGTCCAGAGGACAGGAGCAGAATTCAAAACGATCTTGACAGATTAGAGAGATGGGCCCAAACTAACAAAATGAAGTTCAACAGTGACAAATGCAAGATACTCCACTTTGGCAGAAAAAATGAAATGCAAAGATACAGAATGGGTGACGCTGACGCCTGGCTCGAGAGCAGTACGTGTGAAAAAGATCTTGGAGTCCTCGTGGACAACAAGTTAAACATGAGCCAACAATGTGATGTGGCAAAAAAAGCCAATGGGATTTTGGCCTGCATCAATAGGAGCATAGTGTCTAGATCTAGGGAAGTCATGCTCCCCATGCTCCATTCGCTTTGGTTAGACCACATCTGGAATATTGTGTCCAATTCTGGGCTCCACAATTCAAGAGAGATATTGACAAGCTGGAATGTGTCCAGAGGAGGGCGACTAAAATGACCAAGGGTCTGGAGAACAAGCCCTATGAGGAGCGGCTTAAAGAGCTGGGCATGTTTAGCCTGAAGAAGAGAAGGCTGAGAGGAGATATGATAGCCATGTATAAATATGTGAGAGGAAGCCACAGGGAGCAGGGAGCAAGCTTGTTTTCTGCTTCCTTGGAGACTAGGACGCGGAACAATGGCTTCAAACTACAAGAGAGGAGATTCCATCTGAACATGAGGAAGAACTTCCTGACTGTGAGAGCCGTTCAGCAGTGGAACTCTCTGCCCCGGAGTGTGGTGGAGGCTCCTTCTTTGGAAGCTTTTAAACAGGGGCCTGGATGGCCATCTGTCAGGGGTGATTTGAATGCAATATTCCTGCTTCTTGGCAGGGGGTTGGACTGCATGGCCCATGAGGTCTCTTCCAACTCTTTGATTCTATGATTCTATGATTCTATGATTCAATGCATATTCAAGAACAAATCCTCATCTGTAACTGGGAGCTGAATGTGAATGTTCCACATTGGATAAAGAATGTCAGTCTTCTTCCAGAGATGAATTTATATACAGGCACAAAAGAACAACAGGATTCTGGCCTCAAGGTATTAATGGACTCAGATGAGATTATGTATTCATCCTATCGGTTTGAGCTTACTTCCATGGCTATCTCAGTGGTAGCTAGAGGCTTCCATGTGAATGGGATAGTGAATCCACCCAAAATGTAATGAGCTATCCACAGTGCTGAATCTATTAAGAAGGTAGATAGCTCTTTGAAAATTCAGACTACATGCCAGGATGAATTCTCTAGCTCCTTGATATGAAAGTTACCAACTAGTACAGTCAGCCCTCTGTATTCACAGATTTTATAGCCATGGATACAATCATCTACTAGGAGCCCCCGGTGGCGCAGTGGTTTAAAGCCCTGTGCTGGCAGGACTGAAGACCGACAGGTCGCAGGTTCGAATCCCGGGAGAGGCAGATGAGCTCCCTCTATCGGCTCCAGCTCCTCATGCGGGGACAAGAGAGAAGCCTCCCACAAGGATGACAAAACATCAGAAATCATCCGGGCGTCCCCTGGGCAACGTCCTTGCAGACGGCCAATTCTCTCACAACAGGAGCGGTTGCTCCTGACATGACAAAAAAAAAATCTACTGTTTGAAAATATTTCTTCTACCCCATCCCCCAAATCAAAAAGCAAATTTTGCTTTGCCATTTTATGTAATGAATACCATGTTATCATAGCATTGTATATAAAGGGACTTGATCATGGTAGATCCTGCACCTACTGTACTTGTCTATCCATTATGTATGGGTCTTGAGTCTCTTTTATACTTCTTTTGTTTCTTTTCATAATAGTTGTCAGGAATGGACTGAACTGGATCAAGACAATAAAAA